TGCCGCTGCCATGCTTTGCACATTTTTGCATGAGCCGGGCACCTGGGAAAAAACCTACATGCAACATCATGGAACATACTTCTTCCAACTACCCCACCATGGAATTGCTTGTTGGTGGTCCTTGGACGTGGGGTGGGTGCAGAGGTGCTGTACCCTCTGGCTGACAAAGGCGGAATGTAAAGCTCCACCACTGAGGGCACTCCAGGGATCACGAGGGCGCCCAGGGATCAGTTGGGGTGATGTGGACACAGGCCATCAGGCAGGGACCCCGAGCTGAAGCAGGATGTCCCAAAAATCAACACCGGTGGAACGTTAAGCATCCTCGATGGGCTTCGCACTGCGAAGCTTGACTAACACGAGGTTGACCCGACACAAACAGAACATTAGTCCTTCCCGGCTTCGGGCACCCAGTGCCAAGCCAAAGCGATTCAACTGTCCAGGGCCGCGCCATTTCCTTTGCCAACCGCTTGGCGCACAGAGGTTCCTCGGCTACATGGGAAGACAGGGGAAGTGGGATTGCCTCGAGTGGGTCAGAAGTGCTGAGTTAGAAGACTTAGCATTTGGATGCAAGGCGTCTGCGCCGGTCATGCTCGATTTATCCCTGCTTGCAGAGTCTGCAGGAAAGGTGTCGCCCGCGGTCGACTTTGTCTCCGATGGCTGCTGAAAGCTTCCAAGGGGGGGCGCGATCCATTGAGGGTTGTATTGTATGGGTTGAATGACCTGGAAAGACTCATTCCCTTCGCGGCTCCCAATGCTCACAAAATACTCAGGCAATATTCAACCTGTGAAGTATGCGCCTTGAGGGTAGCCCCTAGTAGTTGTAGAGAGTGTTTCTTCGAAGTTGGGACAGGTACAGTAAACGTCTTGTCTGGTATCAAGATGCTTCGTGGTTTTAGTGAGCCTAGCGAGACGCCATGCCCTGCACTAACGTGGATGTTGTTCTCGCGACATCTCAGCTGACCTGAGTATAAAGAGTTCCCTGATCTCAGCATCTTTCAGGAATCGCAGCCTTGCCGTCCTTGCGTAGCCATGTTGACCGGCGGTATTTAGCACCACCCGCCCGGGGAGCCAGGCGAAGGTCGTTTCGCTCAGCAGGGCTGTCATCAAATGTCAATCTCTCGTTCCTGGTCCATCCCCAGAGGTTGGGGGAGGCTTTGCCGTCGTTTCTGGGACAATCCGCAAAGCGGGGTAGGACAGCTTTGCGCTTTGCCCGTACTGGTCTCGCAGCATTCTGAGCCCCCCCAGTTGGAGAGAAGGGGTGTGCTGGGTGTGCTATGTAGGAAAGCCGCCCAGCCGGGGTGACTGCGTTGCTGGACAGTTCCTTGTGGGCTGCAAGAGACAGCAGTAGGTGAACGCCTCTTCGCTGACATCTCCAGATTGGGCTGTTGGGAGGGCCCTCGTTGAAAGCCTAAATGTGCAACTGTAATGTTGAAATCCTGGCTGTAAACACCGAGATGACAGCGCCTTCAAAAGGGGCATTTCCTCGTTTCGGATGTGCTGGTTTTCTTCGTCTGCACTTGCTTCTCGTATGATAGCCAGACTCAGTACCTTTACTTTTTAATGGCCAGTTGTTCCAGCCACTTCCGAGAACTGTAGAACTCGAAGTTCTTTAACCTGTACAATGCTGTACCGTACCGGCTTGACGTGGAGATTTCTGTGCCCTCCATGGCTCGGTTGGACTGGAGCCATGGCATCGAAAGGAGGGGGGACAGTTTGATGAGGCTAGGATGGAAGAGCTCAGCGCCTGGCGCCCTTGCAAGAATTCCACTTTCCATCCAAGGAGGTCCATCTACCATGACCTTGTCATGGACCTTGTCATGGGGAATGCCGTCTGGTGCCTGGGCCAGCAAGCGTGTTATCTGGACTTCGGGGCTTTCACATGGTCTGCTCAAAAAGTTGCTTGCAAGCCAGCTAGGAGACCAAGGGCCCAGCAAATCATGTAACGAGTCAAGAGTCCACAGCTCGTCGGGCACTGAGGTCTTTTGACCACAGGCATGTGGCTTGCAGAAGTCGCCCACAGTCTTGGCGGACGGGCCATTTGTGAGTATGTGAAAGTCGTGGTGGCAGGTTAAGAACATTTAAGAACTAACAGAGCTGGAATGGGCACTGGGTTTAAACATAACAGTCGTTGAATGGCTCGTGCTGACTGGGCACACGCGAGTGCTGACTGGGCACACGCGAGTGCTGACTGCGAATGCACGAGAGCTGCTCAGGTATGCCGGTCGTAAATATCGCTTGACTAGCAACGACCAACAACTCATTTCAGTTGTTCATCACGCAGACGCAGGATGACACAAAGACGAAGATGGTGCGGAGAGAGAGAGAGAGAGAGAGAGAGAGAATGAGAGAGAGAGAGAGAGCAGTATGTCGTTTCCCTAGGGAGTGGTAGCATCTTGTCCTGTCATGTACTCCCAACTGTAGCTCCCCACAAGATCACACCTGTGTCACACGTGACCGGATCGGTGCGCGTGCCCCTTCGGGCGGCCCCCATACGCACAGCAAGCAAGCAAGAGAAAAAAGAAACTCCCTGACAACAGGGGCGGGCGAATACGCCCGGGGCTGGACCCTTGCCATACGAAAGAAAGCAGGAAAGAAACTGGAACGAGCAGCTCGAGCCCTTGCCCGTGTCCAGGGGACAACCACTCCACAAATCTTTCAAGATTAAAAACTTGTTTGACATCATTGATGATTGAAGAAGAAGCAGAAGCAGAACAAGAAGCATAAGAATAGGAAGACGAAGAAGAAGCAGAAGAAGAATAAGAAAAAACAAATTGGAGAGCGAGAGAGAGAACGAAACTGATCTGTGGACTTGAGCGCAGTTCGGTTCGACCCCTCCGGGGACTGTGTTTGCATGGGGGCTCGCACCCAAACCCCTGGAACGAAACAATATACATCATCTTCGCGTTTTGAAATGTTGCTCAAATAGTTGCGGTCCAAGTTGGGAGAGGATCGCCTGGAGCCTTCGTTCCAAAATTTGGCAAGCGGTTTGCTATGCCAGGGTCAAATTCATCGGGTGCAACAAGGCTACTACCCCGCAAGCCCAAACCTCGTGAAGGACAACAAAGAAGGAAAGCGGGGAAAGGGAGAGAGAGATGGAGCAAGAACCCGCTGCTTGAGAGATGGAGCAAGAACCCGCTGCTTGTGAAGATCGTGTGAACTTCGTGGAGAAAGATCCTACGTGAATTTTGGTCAGCTAGTGAAGAGTTTCTGTGAGACCGTGGCTTTAAAGCGGAAGTGCATATGGCGTGGCTTGAGCAGCAATCGTCACTGGACATCTGCAGAACAGCAGCAATCGTCAATAGACATCTGCAGAACAGCAGAGTCAGTGTGGCCTTTCGACCTAAGTGTCGTCAGTCTGCAGTCCAGGGCATGTATTCTGGTACTCCCAGAATGCACAACAGGCAATTCTCATCCATTCGTATATCTTTCGGCCATCGTGTATCTCGTAACACTTGCCTATCTCTAGGCCCTTTCAGACTGCTTGTCACAACGCTGCCTGCGCGTACGATTCGGTACGCCAGCGCCTTCTGGGTCGAAGGTTGCCGTTCCGAGCTTCCTTTCGGCCCAGACTCAGCTTTCCACTAGAGATGTGTTCTTCAAATTTCTTTGGGGGATGTTTATTGCAGTCAAAGGTATTTAGGAGTATGAAGGTCTCAACTATTGTGATTTCCAGATGGGCAGCAAATTACCTGTGGCTCAGAGGCCTTTGTTCGTTCTATGCTCGCTCGTCTCTTCTGGATCAGGGGGCTTTCGGGGAACCCTCAATCGACGCTACATTGTCAACACAGCATCGAGAAATAAATCACTGTGTGGCAGTATGGTATTTGTCGTGCCAGTGCCTAGAGCCCGTTGGGATGGTCACCCAATGTTCTACTCTCCCCAATCCCCGGCCTTTTAGGGAAGGGCCGCTCGTCGGGTCGCCTGGTCATCCACATATCGCGCTTCAATTTATCCCGAAAGCTCATCTTCCAGACGCGTGGCAGCCGCTGAACGTGTCCGAAGGGCAAGCGCAGAAAACGATGTCTGAAATCACATGGCACACCAGGCCTCGAGAGGCTAACATTGTTCATGAAGCCATGAAGCCACAAGCTCAGGATCCAGTCTGCTTCAATGCATGCACTTCGGGACCTCAGTGCTGCCCAATTTTTGTGGCTGCTTGCTTGTTTGGGCTGCAGTTGACCTATCCTAATGGAAGGTGTACAATTTTGTGGACCTGAGCAAAATGCCGGTCCATTTGTACAGCAAGTGCAGGATATCTCTGCTCTCCCCACGGATTCCTGAACTACAGAGAATCATTCGCCTTGCATCCTACTTTCATGATCTTTCATGAAGCAAGGTATCCACTGCCAAAAGTTTGCATGTCGGAATGTCCTGACTTCTTAAACATCGGCCGAGAACACTCTTGGATGCTCCTCAGCTTAGAGTTGCTGGATTACACATGGCATCAAGCACGCACTTGTTGCACATCGGTGCGTTCTACAGCTATGCAGCTTCGTGCTTAACATCTGCGGCACCAAGAGTATGCTTATGACTCGACCAGACTTTGCGTGTTGGCAAAGCCATTAATTCGGGCTTCCTGCGAGGAACAGTCAGGTCATCTGGACCATAGGGGCGTTTCATGCTGCAGGTTTTAAAGTTGGTCTGTGGATATGAAGGCGATGGTGACAGCTTGGAGACGCCCCTCTTTCGTAGCAGCAACCGGATATCTGCTTGGCGGTGACGGATTGCCGTGTCGCGGTTGACTACATTGTCAGAATTTAGCGGAACGGCTGCTGTAACTGATGTGTCGGCGTGACCAGGGGTCCCACAACTACATTCTCGACTTGGATAACCTCTTGTGAAGTGTGGTCAAATGTGGTCAACCATTTTCGGCTCTTGGAGCTTGCTCTGCTTTGCTCTCTTGCCCACTTTTACCAAAAAGGGTGCGCTACTGCAACCACGAGCGTCTGCGAGCTTTCTCGATCCGACCAGTCCTCGACTCGGAAGATGTCGGTCTCAAGGTGAATCTTCTGCTCCCAGACCTTCTTCAACTGGAGGTCTGAGCACTGTGTGGTGCGTGGAATATGAAAAGCAGGGCAATGCAGGGCAGAGACAGCATCAGCGCAGGCCATGGGCAAGCAGCCGAGGGTCAGGCGCTTGGCATGCCGAGCATCGCCCATGAGCTACTATGAGCTACTGTATGCGCCTGGAGAGCTCTTGGTCCGCAGGGTGCCTGGTTGCCTAATCTTATGTTGCTTGCAAGCACCTCGCAGGTCGTTGTGGTTGGTCCAGACCTCGGCATCCGGGCAAGGAGTGGTGGGGAAAGGAGTTTTTCTGTTCTAGAGCCTCTTTAGTGAGATGGTGGGAGCATGCGCAAAACGAATCGAAAGGAATCAGAAGCAGCCTTGAGCATTCCGCTCTAGCCCGTCCTCACCTTAGGTTCGAACATCTGCTACGCGCACGACGTCTTTGACTTCAGCGAGGCTATGGTCTCAAGCAGCCCAAGATTCCGCTTCAAGGAGCATCTTTTCGAGTCTATCGAACTCTGACTCTTTGTCGTCAATATGTGTCCATATGCTTCCTCCCTCGTCCTAACATGCGAGTTGACCTGCGCTGCCGAGCCCCCGCTGCGACAGCATTTCCTCGCCGGGGGCTCACATCCCCATGAAGCATGTGCACCCTGGATCTTCTTGTCACTTGTCACTTACATTCCGGGTGCCTCTTTTGGCACATCTACAGGCCAAGCCATACTCCCTCTTCCGGGCATATGGCCAGCAGCAAGCTCGGCCTTCGTGAAAGGATCCTAGGAACGCTCAATCTGGGTGTGGGCTCGGCATGGCAACAGATGTACGTTCCTTGCTGATGCTCCTGTTTCTGATGCTTCTGGTCAAGCGGCGGGGTACCCTCCTTGAAGCTGTGCCTACACTGAGAGCAAGTTTTTTCCAGGTCCAAGCTGGCGAATCTGATGATGTGCCGCCAGCTGGCGCTGCGCCTGCGCCAGCGAGGAAGCAGGAGAGCCAAATGTCGAGCTTGATTAGCAGAGTTGTTGCTGGAGATCGACTTGTAGAGTTCATTCCAGCCCTTTCCTGCGAGGATACAGGTGAACTGTGTGCATCCAGGTGAAGTTCTCACCCAGGTGAGTTCCGTGCTGCGTGGCCGTGCAGACGCGCTGCCTTTTGCATCAGCACACTATACAATGTATCGGCTGCAGCACCCAACCTCTGCCAGGTCTTCAATGACTTCCATCCAGTAATCCTGGCGTCTTTGACCCAGAGTGTGCAACGACCGATGTCCTGAGTACACAATCGAGACTGCAGATCTGTGACTTTGCAGTTGTCATGGGGAGCCGAATCCTTTGCATCAACTGTGCTGATTTTTTGGGAATGGGTTGGGGGGTGTGTAGGGTTTTGGGGGGGAGGGGCGGGGGAACAGAAGGATAATGAACACATGAAAGAAAAACTAACGACAGAAAGAACGAACGAAGCAAGGAAGGCAAACCACATAGACAGATAGCCAGAGACACGCAGCCAGACGGCAAGAAAAAATTGGCACCGCCAAATGCAGAAGTATGAGGGACAAAGGCAAAAGCGCAGCTGCATCCCTGAACTCCTAAACCCTAGCCCCCCCAAACCCCCAAGCTGTTGCATCCTTTCCAAACGCCAAGCCCGTCGTGTCCGCAAGTCCCCGGCCCTCCCTCCCCTCCCTCCCCGCCCGCTCCCCACTCCCTCCCCAAAGCCCGACTTTTGAACCAGTTCCACGAGCTACCTGGAATGTCTTGTTGCCCAGGTTGTATTCTGCACTGCAGCCTGCTGCGCAGCTGTTCTTCAAGACGCCGCCAATGGGTGCAGCGTGATGCTTAGTCTTCGTCATCCATGGAGCAGACCCCGTCAACGTAAGAATTAAGCCATAAGCTCAGATCTAGTTACAGGCGGTCCGACTGGTTGCGGGTCCAAGAGCTTTTTCCCGCCCGGCATTGTGGTGAAACAACTGGTGAAACCAGCACTCATCTCGTTGCTCAGAAAGTCCTACACTTGTCGGTTGGATGTAGCTGGGGATTGCCGGGTTGCGGCACACTTCCCAAGCCCCTTCACCCCCGGATTGTGTGCGAAGGGATGGTGGAAACCATAAGATGTCGGCCGTTCTTTCTGGGCCCATGTCGGCATGGTTGTTTTCTACTCGTTTCCCCAGAATTTCCCCACTATCATCTAGGGATGCTGTTGTATGAACGCTTGCAGCGACTCGGGGCTGTGTCTCAACAGTCCAGTACACGTAACTGGCCCTGGGCGCCTTGTTGCGACATCGGGTTTGTGACTGCAACAGCAGAGGGATGGGTGGGCCGGGACCTCACAACTTACCGGCACTTTATTTTACAGCCTTCTAAAGATTCTAAAGCTTCATTGAGATAGCAGATAGCCCAGTGTAGGGAAAATGCCGTACGTAGCTCAAGGCTATATCTCTTGGCATTTTCTGGGAGCTATGCCATGTTTTGCTATTGTTATTCCATTATGATCGTTATTGCTCCTTGGACAATTCCTTAAGACGTCAGAGAAAATGTCCGGGGCAATTCCCCGAACAGCCGGAAAGTGCTCTAGGTTCCTAGCTGTTTTCTCCAGGCATATTCCAAGGCCACCACAGCTTCACAGAGACGAAACGCCTTCCATCAAATCCGTTGAAAAGCAAGCTGTGAACCTTGCTGTAGTGGGAGGCGCGGCTCTGGCAAAAGAGGCCCTTTTCATGGCCAGCAAAAGCATGATGAGGTTTGCCCAACCTTCGTGGCTGCCTCGCCAGACGTGAAGGTTTCGGGAGAGCCGGGACCTGACAACAGTAAGCAAGGGGCTGTAAGGCAGCTGATCTGTGTGCTCATATGCTGTGTGCAACTCCTGTGTCATCTGCGTACAACAACTCAACAGTCAGGCATGCATTTCCCCATCGCTGTAACACCCGTCATGCTCTGGCAGTTCAATGCGCATCCAGTCTGCCCCTAGGTACTTCATGCGATGCCGGCCTGCCAAAGTCCCTCAGGACTGGCTTGCTGAGACAGGGATATAGACGCTTGCACAAAGATGCTTGTGTCCAGCGGTTAGATGTGAACGTGGAGGGAGTCTTGCGGGGTTCCTGCCTCAATTGCCTTGATGTTGGTGAACCAGCTGTCGAATGCTCCTTGCACCGGCTCCAGCAGGACCGACTCGGTATGCAGCTCTGCAGCACAGTCTTGCTAGCCACAATCACAGGCAAGTCACGACAGTCCGATAAGACAACTCACGCCTAACCTCATGGACGACAGATTTCATTTTCAACTAATCCAGAGTTGCATAGTTGTTGCCATGGAAAGTGGCATTCTCGCAAGCTTTGGTGGTGCAGCCAACAAAGCCAAGGCAACTCGCAAGGTAATCGAGCATGGCTCTATCAAGCTCTTTGGGAACCACTTCTTCTCCTGTTGCATTTCAAGCACGGCGCAGGCTGCGGCGACCTTCGCTCAGCTTCACCAGACCAGTTCGTTGGATTTTAAAGACCCTTGTCTTGAGAGGTTCCAGCATGCTTTGTCTGCATCGTTTCAGACTGCTGCATGTTCTGTCATTGCTGATCCCAGTCGGCCCAACTACTTGTAGTTTCTCTTCCGATCTCCTCTGACAGACCGCCTCAACCCCCCTTTTGAAAGCAAGCAAAGCAAGCTGAGGCAGCCTCGCCGCGGCTGTCGGAGGCTCGCAAGACGCTCTTTCAGAGCTGGATGCCTCACGTCAGTCTCACGTCCATTCATGGTTCAAGTATGTTCGCTGAGTTTGTGCAGGCATCAGTGGACTCAACTGCCTTCATCCTTCCGGGAAAGCTGCAGCGTGCCATAGCATCAAAGGTTGCCTCACAACATCACCTAAGTACCCAATTTATTCTGGGTTCGATGTGACATTCGGCCTCGCAATCTCTGCAAATGTGTTAGCGGCAGGGTTCATTGAAGTTTGGCCTTCAATCTAGGAGGTCTGTACTGAGCCAGTACGTTCCGCTGCATAGAGGCCTTCAGGACACAGAGCATTCAAGCAGCGAGCGATCAAGGTGTTTGCCACCCACTGACCACGTGCCTGTCACACCACAAGAAGGCCACACAAAAGAGAGAGCGCGTTGCTTTAGTGCCCTTTAGTGCAATGTGCCACAAGCTCGCTTGTGTCAGTACCAGCTTCGCGGACAAACTTTGCCAGAGGCCCCGAAATGGTCCTTCACTGAGCGCGGTTCGGATCGGCTCGCGCGGCCTGTGCTCCTCGGAGCTGCAAAGAAGGGGAGTTGTGGCAAAAGGAGTTCTCCAGAGCCTGGCCAGCTGCTTGCATTTCATACACATTCCATATTTCATGTCAGCTATCGCATACATATATGTATATATATATGTATATATGTATAAATCTGTATAAAGTTTCATACCGTCTGGCTGCCTGGCTTGGAAGCCTTACCCACCAAGCACCTCACACCTAATAGTAGCCTCTTTCTCTGTTATGCTACAGCCCCCCAAAAGGCCCCAGACTCTTAGGGTCCCTGAGCCCATGGAGGCCCGGGCCTGGCACCTACGAGGCAAGGGGGATTCGGTGCAGGACTGGGATTCTGTCTTGGCGAATCCCTGGGTAGGGTCGTTCGACGGTTGCATCAACTCGCTCACACTTCCTGTTGGGTCTCCTTGCATCTGCTATTGTCACCTATTTAAAAGGCATCCCCCGCATGTGCCAAAGCCTTCGCAGCTTGTCAAGCTTCTGTGGCTCCTTGCAACTTGTGGGAGTTTGTATATGTCCTGGGCCAAACAGGATTTGGGGGGACCTTTGGCCTGATATGTCAGGGATTTAAGGTCACCGGATGTCACCGGGGGAGGGCCTAAGGGCCTGTCTGCGAGAAGTGTAAGCCCAACGTGGAGATAGATTCTGCAAGGCTGTCTGACCCTGCAGCTTGCAAATCCCCCAGATTTCGAATCGGCCGTGCCACCTTCAAGGGGCTTGTAGCAGTCGTGGCGAGTCGTGGCAGGTGTCAGCTGCAGAAACCGCAGCCAAGCAGCTGGGATGGCATTCTGTCTCCAGTACATTAACCATGAGGAACCAGAGCCGTTTCACTTGTGATGTTTTGCTCAAGATGCCCCACATCCTAAAGACTTGGAGAGCTCAGCTGAGCTCAGCGAATCTTCACTGAGGACATTCCAGCGGCCTCCCAAGTTCAGTTTCGGATCCGCCGGCCGGAACCTGGTGGCTTCAAAGTCAAAGCCCTGCAAGGCACGCAAGGCTTCTTCTGTGATCTTCCATTTGGTCTTCCATGTCTTGCACTGTCTTGGCCTTAGCGCCAACGGAAGTAACCCTTCGGCGCCCTCGACTTGCCTTTGAGACCATGAGCTCCGCATGTCGAAGACCCTCGATGTGCATTCGTAGTCCTACAAACATCCTATACATTCCTGTCTGCTGACGGTCTGAGCCGTGCCCTCGCCCATGCTTGTCTTCGTTCATCTGTGCATGGAGGCGGAGACCCCAGGGCCCGGCACGCCACTTGTAAGCATCAGGCCCGCATGACTACGCCGTCTGTACGTTCAGCGCTTTGTGGAGCTTGGTAGGATATGCTGAGGATCCTGAAGATTGGCGATTAAAGTATCAGGCATTTGTACGAGTGCTCTTACAGCACAGGAGGCACACCGTAACCGCCCGAAGAAAGAAGCCCTTGGGCATAGCATCCGCGAACTCTGGATTTTTCGATCCACTGAACTATGCGATCTGAGGTATGGCGGGCATTACACCACTTTCGGCTACTGAAAAATCAGCCTATATCAGCCTGAGGTTGTTTCACCGTTAGGCGGAGGGTACGTGCAGTTACATGCAGGCTCCTCCCATCCAGCAGACCTGCCTACCCAGCGCAAGACTGCCCAAGCTGCGGACAGGAAGCTTCATTTCATCTAGGCCTCACTGGTAAATATCTGGCTTTACGACGTTTTCGTATTTGGGCTGGTGGGCACCCACAAGAATCTTTAGGCTTGCGCCTTTGGCGCAAGATCTTCTACCAGACTGGCGCGTATGGATTTGTGGAGACCTGAAGGGTACTCTTCTTGCGTGCTTCATGTGGGGTAGCTGAAAGGGCTTCTGAACGATTCTGTACGTGTATTTGAAAATATAATAAGCCACAGCACTGCAAACTGCAAAGGGAGTCAAAGTTGTGATGCGTTCTGCGCTCTTTCAGATGCTGACTGCGAAGACACTCGCGACATATCTTTGAGTCCAGCATGTCCTGGTGACCCGCGGCATGTCCTGCCACTATCCTAAGCCTGTCACGCGCGGGCAGCCGACAATAAACGTTCGCAAAAAGCGCTCTGGGCCAGGGCATAAATGCTTCTCGATCTTGCATGCCCCTGACAGATACGTTCCATCCCTCTTCGCAGGTTGCGCAAGACAGCCAGAACGTCGAGAGGCCAGTACGTCTGCGCAGACATAAGTGTCGAGTCATTAAAGGGGGGCATTGAGGTTGCGGGCTGCAGGCTGCGAGGGCTTTGGATGCTGGAGTCTAAGCGCGTGCGTTTTGCAAAAGTTTTTTCTGGGAATGCCTGGACTGCAATGAATTGTATGTATTTGTCGGAGGTTTCTGTGCAGTGTGCACGAGATTTGACTTCCTACTCGTAGCAAGACTTCCAGACCTTGAATTCTCGTGGCTGGTTCTTGCAAGTAATAGTCTTCACAAGCTGTGTGATGCCGCATGACCCGGATTCTGACAACAATTGCCACTCGCCGCAGCTGCCCAGAACACTGCTGCGCGGGAGGCTGTGGGTGCTCAGTGAGGAACTCACCGGTATCCAGTCATGCATATGACCATTCCATGAGCAGCACAAGCTGCGCGAACTACCCTTCCAATTTTCCAACGACATCGTTGGTTCGTGCCATGCGCAGAAGTGTCGTGGCAAACCGCCAGGGACGTGGTCGAGAGTCCTACCTGTCCGGGTCGATAGTGTTGTCCACCAACTGGAGTTCATCTTCAATTAAATGAAGGACTCCTTAGGACACTCCTCGATGTTTCACCGGGCCAAGTGGACTGGGACAGACCAGTCTTTGCCAAAGTTACTTGCACTTGGCCAAGAGGAAGAAACTCCAGATTGAAGCACGATTTCTTGGGGCTTGTAGGCATCTTTGTCAGTGTGGATGCTGAAATATTTTGCAGTCTCCTGGTTTTCTGCTCTTCAGCGTGGCCGTATTGCAACAAGTATGTGCCACGGAGGCAAGGCGCTTGGCAGCTGCACTGCAAGTTCCCTCAACATGTGCATTGTACGGATTTACAGTCAGCAGCTATATATGCTACCATATATATATACATATGTATATACATATGTATATATATATATATACATATATATATATATATACATATATATATATATATATAATATAGATGGAAGTATATATATATATATGGAAATATAGCAATAGGCTAGTTTTATAGATGAATACAATAATTAGTCACAAAAACGGAAAATATATGTACATATGTATAAGCTTATGCTACATGGTATGCATAAAATACACTCTTTTGCTCGGGCCAGCCATGATGCACCCAGCCATGCGTGGCTTGCGGCAGCTGTCCACCGCAAGGTCACTTCAGCAATGGTCTGTCGGAACGCTACACTACCGTTTTAGTCGCAGTGCAAGATTTCTTTAACTGTATTTTATCAAGAAGCGATTCATGACACGCTGCCATCAGATGAAGTAGGCTGCCGCAACTGGAGCCATTCAAGGTCAAGCCCAGATTGGGATGGTTATATCACAAACGCTCTTTTTCAAGCTTGAACTTCGAATTCAAGAAAAGCCGTGTGGCGATCAGATGGCACAACTAGCCGGAAGCCATTGCAGTTCAGTATAGTCACATACAGAGGCTAATGTTTTGGAATGTCACCTCCATCGGCCGCCCCGGCACACCAGAAGTAGTCCGTGGGCAGCTGATGGCTTCGCCGATGGCTGCGCCGATGGCTTCGCCAATGGCTTCCAGTGTTTCGAGGCCTTCGAGACATCCCAAAACTGCAGTGGCAATGCTTCCCAGAGATCACCCACAATAACCCTGCATCCCAAAGTCTCCCCTGGGCTGAAAGTCTGGGATCCAGGTTCTTAGCCTCTAGAGAGCATTTTGGCATCACTGACACATATTGACACGATCTCGTAGCATGAAGTTGTGTCTTTCCATTGGCATTGGCCGAACCCTTGTGCTCGTAGGTTGGAGCGCGCGACAGCCGACAAAAGCGAGGCGTCGGCATGCGTGAGTGGCCATGAATTCAGCCATACACGTCGCTTAGCTGATAAGCATTGAGCTGCGCAACAGCATAGCGGAACGGGGCTGCATGACGATTTGGCCGCAGGTATCAGCACTGCGCGGTTCCGACCCTGCTCTCAGCTCGTCTCCGCCACTTTGGCCAACGGGGCTTCCTCCTCTCGTGCAGCGTTCATGTCAAGCTGTACGGCAGAGCTATTTCCGATTGTTCTGCTTAGGTACCATGCTTTCTCGAGAGCTCCGAGCAAGCTGGCAAGCACAGGGTGCAATTGTCAAAGATTTTCCGCATCTCATGGGTTTGAAAATCTTGGCGGTTTCTCTGCGCTAGGCTCACTAGAACCTTGAGGAGCCTAGATGGGGTTTCGCTGCAATTGTAACAGGCCACCGGGCCGGGCTGTGGCAGGGGGCTGTGCATGATCCAGAATTGGAACGCAAATTTATCCGACGTGATGCGGCCTTAGTGTCTCAGTTCACAGTGATTTCTCAGGTGTGGTGTTGGGGCGCCCTCGCAAGTGGCCTGGACCCGAGGCTGGCTAGCGAGGGTTCAGCAGCGGGAGCCCTTAACTTCAGCTTTTGCGAGTTGAAAAAAGCTTTCAGCTATCGAAGATTCTACTGTTCTCACTTGGGCCAAGCGCAAATGTCCTACTTGGGTTCATGACCATGTGGGCTGCAGAAGTATTGCGATTGGCCTCAGTGCTAGACATGCGCGCAACACATGAAGCTGTTATATATTGAACGCGCGCCATTCTGCCTGGAACCAGGGCTTCCCGACCACCGTCAGGCTACTCTGGGACGACGAGGTGCAATCGGAAGATGCTACAGATCGCATGAGCTCGCTACAGTGCTAAATTTTTAAAGTCTTGCAGAATGTTACGGCACATGTACTGCAAGATTCTGCGCTGTTTCGTAGTTGACCACTCCTTGCGGTAACTTTCCGGGGCTTAGTCATTCAATGCTGGCCATTACCAGTATGTTTCTTGATCCTCTTGTAAACATCTCAAGTTTGCCAATTCTTCGAAGTGTCCACAGCTGCGGGTCATGCTCCTCCCCAAAGACCCAGAGAGCATTCATGAGAGAGCATTCCCTGTAGTGCGAACAGTGATGCGAACTGCTGCAAAACTGCGAGCGGCTACGTTTGTTTGTCGCAGGCTCTGCACGTATGCTGGGAGCTGGAGGGAGAGACGAAGGCAGCGATCGATGAGCTTCGTCAGAACAGTGGGAAGCAGCAGGGCCACAAATGGGGCACAGGGTCAGCACAAGACCCGAAGACTAAGGCTTCCTTGGTGGAGCCTTCTGTCCTCGAAGGGCTCGAGGCATGGTTTCTGAGAAATTGCCACTTTAATGCCTCGTTGGTAAAAAACCCGTAAACATCGAGCCCTGACAGGAAGGGCGAGTCCCAGCGGAGATGCGCTCGGTGCTTCTGGACGAGCGAGTGGAGTGTTTCTTATGGCAACCAGGCAGATTGACAAGGATACTTGTGGCCACAGAATGCACCAATTACCAATACTGTACTGGTAGAGGTCTGTTGCGTAGGCAGTAGGCCTTTGGCCTTGTACTGTGCAGTCGTGGCAGTCTCTCGGCTCAGATGGCACGCCTGCTGCGGTTGGTCAGACTTACTATGCCTTCGAGATCAACTTTGATGGGAAGGCGAGCCAGAAGCCATTATTGACTGTATCCTAGACCGCATACATGGCCTCATGTTGAGCAAGAAGGCTTTGACAAACCGCGCAGTGTTCAACGGCCACTTCGACTTTCACTGGGACTCCTCCGATGCAGTCAAGGCCGGAGCAGCTCTAGCTCATGGAACGCTCATGGGACGATGTGAAGTTAACAGTACTGCGAGGCTTCGACTCTGCTGCTGGCTGTTGGCCATTGCGATTCTGCGTGACTCTGTCCAGCATTATCTAGGAGTCTATGCAGTCCAGGCGAGCATGCTCCACCCTTGTTGGGTTTGACACCTCATGTAAACGTTCAGCCACATTGGGCAGCTCGCCTTGCTCCCGCCGGCCAGCAGAGCTGCGTAGCATCACCACATGAGACATCTCATGCAAGGTTGGGTGATGTGGATGGGCGAGGGATTCCGGGCCAAACGGGATGGCGAGACTTTCGAGGGAGGGGTGCAAGTTTCGCCAGGCCCCACGCTGTTATTGGTTCGTTGCATTTGCTATTTGCACTCGTGCGGCCGTAAATGCATCACAGCTGCAAAACCCATGTCAGCTGTGCGTGTTTCAGCCGGTTGCCCTAGCAAACACAAACTATGTTAAGGAGCCCGCTGCCCACCGCAGAAGCACCTGCACCCGCGAAGCGTGTGGCCGCGTGGCGGCGTTTGTGCATCTCGATCAGCAGCACTGACATTCAGCTGACTGCGTGCGTGTTCCAATGAGGTGATTGCTAAGTTCCGGTGGCGGGCGATGAACATCGACCCATGGCCCCAATGGCAGTGTGGTGCAAACGGTGCCAACTTCCCGGCAGTTTCGACACATGACACCTGTCACGAGCTCGTGGATTCTGGTGGGAAGCGGAAGCCGAGGATCCGGCAAAAGAGCTCCGAATCGGCCTCCATCGGGCCCAGCACGGCAACATGTCAGCGGCTGCTTCGATTGGGCGGGAGGCGTCGGAGGCGCTGCTACGGGGGATGCTCGGCTTCCAACATGCCGCGCTTTAAAACTTGAAGAGCATGAAGTTTTCTGAGGCTACCACTGTACCATCCTGCTGTACATTGCTGTACCCACACTCGAGTAGACCTCAGGATGATCTGGACAACATTTGTCGACCCCGGAGACGCAGAAGCACCTTTGTGCCGAAGGGGACAGTACAGAATGAGCCGGCATCCCCCCTTTTTTCCATTCCGATTGGTGGCATGGCATGGGCGCTCAGACCGTTGTCGTTAGGCCCGCTAGGCTGTGAATGACTGGCATGTGCTGAGCCAAGGTAAACTTCCATCGTAGCACCCTCTTCGCGAAGTTGCGGCTGCAGCCCGAAAGTGGCTCGACACCAGAGCCGGATGAAAGCCTTTAAAAACAAAAGTCAGCAAGGGCCCAGTGGGCAGATGGGCAACTCAGGGAGGGACACTGGCTGCAGGTAGTATACTTAGTATACTTAGTGTACTTTGTATGCTTCCAAGCCTGCCTTCCAAGCTGGCACAGTGTAGCAGCATCCTACTAGTAGACTCCTGGACCATGCTGGGCAGAGAGTTCTGCTATGTGCTGCTTGTCAAGGCGCTGACATCAACTGCTCCTGCTGTGCAGCGCGACTCTTCTCCTCGAAGGCCATATTCACGTGTGAGCTGTCTTTTGAATTATGTCTACGATTGCCCGTCCCGCGAAGGCACTTCGTGTGGTCGATTCTCCACGTCCGTTGCTTGATGAGTGCCCTCCAGGCTGCGTCCTTGTGGTAGCTTTGAAGTTTCTTAGGTTTTCTTTCTTGCACGCTTGGTCTGGCTTCGTTGGCTGCTTCGTCGCAAGCATGTTCTGACGCAAGCTCCTCACCAGGCTCGCTGCTGATACGGGCAAGGTATGCATCCTTGTGTGGCTCTGACATTCCGTACTTCCGTGACTTGGCTGTGACTCATTGCTAGCATGATGTCGGGCGTCGGAAGCATAGATGGGTGAAGACGCTTGAAGCGAAGAGGATCATTGCAATACACTGCGGGATGCACAGCTCAGGGGACATGACGTCTCGGGCGGCCAGCTGCTATTGGGATCGTGACGGCTTCTGTGGCCACGAGGCAGAGGGCAAAGCGTTGCCACGAGTAGAGTAGACACGAGTAGCGAGTAGTCCACAGAAGCCCAGCCCAGCAGAAAAAGAGAGACCCTACTAGTATTTCTCTCAATCTCCCCTTCCCAGGTGGTAGGTGAGGTCTTGGCGTCCAGCCCTTAGAGAAAAAAGGCGAGGCTTCGTTGCTTCGAAGCGCGCCCCAGTGCAGGGATTTTGGGTTTGCTGATGTGTGGATGTCTGTTGATGCTCAGGTCCAGCTCCGAAAGGTTTGCCAAAGGAGACACCGTCCTCTCCCTGCCGTCCTCCTATTTTAAGGCGCTGCAGAGAGCATTTTGCAATTCTTGCATATTCCTGCAGAACGGCAAGCCTATCGCTTTACAGCCCAGAGGCCCACGTTGCGTCGCAGCAAGAGTGGTACAACGAGGCAGTGCATGGTGTTCCTTGACAGCACGGCAGATTTGGCGCAGAGTCTTGAAACTTGTGGGGCATTGCTTCATTCAAAGTCAGGTGCTCCTCACAAATTTCCCAGTGCGCGGGGGCTTCAGTGTGCCCCGCCTGAAGGGAAGGCTGTCGAAACATCAGTTCGCGCAATATTCATCTATCTCTCTATCTGTCTATCTATCTGTCTATCTATCTATCTATCATATATCATATAATGTGCAGATGGATGCATGCACACCTTTTGTCAGGAAATATTCACCAGCCACGAGCTTTGCACTTACAAGATCAAGGATGCGGGTATTGCTTTGCGGGCTTTTGCCGCACACACATGGACAGGTGATGAGGCAGACTGGTAGGAGCCAGCGAACCGTAGCTAACCCTTGGCCGAAGAACCGCTGGTTAGTCCTTGGTTGTTGATGCACCCCTATGCACAGCAGTGTCTAGACTGGAGCCCAAAATGCTTTCCATGGCCTGCAGCCTTTGCCAAGCGACTTGTGTGGAATCGCCGCTTTGCTCTGCGGAGGAGTGTGTTCCACACATGCTGGCAGCCCAAGCTGTGGGAACCCTCCTGCGGATGTTCAGGAGCCAGCGTGACATGCGTGACTTCTTGGCATGGGCCTTGCAGGTCACAATATCACAATAGGCATTTTCACATGGTTCTGTCATGAAGGCGTGGCCCTAATTGGGCTGCCTCAAACGCTGCAAGGGCTGAGCTCTTGCAACCCGAAGAACACAGCAGTTTCACGAACGTTCCATGTGTAATTCAGGTATGTTAAGAACCACCATCGCCGAAAGCAAGCCGTTGTATTTTCAGTTTTCCGGTTGACAGAAAATTGCCGCGTGTCCATCTTGTCATGCAAGGCCGGCCACATCAGCAACTTAGAACTACTTCACGCCCCTCATCGCCTGCCACAGGAGATTACCACCCTTCTTCGGCAAGAGCGTTGTAATTCTGGGGCCGCTCGGTTGAAAAGGAAGGGCCGTGCCTCATCCAGGACATTGAAGAGGGCGCATTTTGATGGCTGTAAAATGCCTTGGCAGAGCACTGGCGTGCTAGAAACCTCTGCTAAGGTTGTGTGTAGCATGGTACTTTGCTTTGGCAGCCGCAGAAAGGAGTGTAGATTCACAGATGATGCAGATGCAAATTAAGGATGAAGAGCAGCACGTTCCCATGGAAGCTTGGAAAATGGAACCAACCTCAGCTCAGGCAGGGCCAAAATGGTCTAATGGCTACCCGCTTGGTCGCCCAGCTCTGCGCTAGGCCCGGCTTTATGTCCATTGTTTCTGCAATTTCTAGTAGTCCCTTCGTGAAACCGTTCCAGCTGAAACAGGATGCCGATGAGAGCACGGGTTGGCTTCCACGCAGGTAGAAGTGTATAACACCTAGACATGCTGATAAATAAAGCAGCTTTGAAATAAAGCAGCTTTGAAGGATTAGGGCTGGTGTGCCAACCCGCTGTTCCCAGCATGTGGCATGCTGCAGGCACATTATCGCCGTGGAGCCATTAGCCTTCAGACGTCGTCTTGCGGCTACCCAGCAGCAGAGAAAGCCATTTCGAAGTGTTTTGTAGCAGCCTTGCATTGCCCTTGCACCGTCACAATCTCACGAATATCTGGCAGCATGGCCTGGCACAGTCCCCATAGCTAATCAGAACCTCAGCTGACTGGACTTCCCGCACGTCATCGAAAGTGTAGCTGGTGCCAACGGGTCAGCCAGACGAAGCATCTTCGATAGCCCTGAGCCGCGGAAGCTCCTTGTTTCTGAGCAGTCTGATCATAGTGGAGCGACATGCCTTCGGGGTGAGCTGAGGAACAGTTCGGTGCGACCAAAGCTGTTGCGCCGGAGGAGATTCAAGGGATGCGAATTTGAAATGGATGCACAGAGAGAGAAGAGAGAGTGAGAGAGAGAGTGAGAACGAGGGTGAGTGAGAGTGAGAGAGAGAGAGAGAGAGAGAGAGAGAGAGAGAGAAGGAGAGAAAGAAGGAGAGACAGAAGGAGAGAGAGAAGGAGACAGAGAAGGAGAGAGAGAGAAGGAGATAGAGAAGGAGAGAGAGAGAGAGGGAGGTGGCCGGGGGGGCTCCTTTCGGGGCCCTCTTAAGCGTGGAGAAGAAGAAGGAGAGAGAAGGAGAGAGAGAAGGAGAGAGGGAAAGAGAGAGAGAAAGAGAGAGAGAGAGAAAGAGAGAGAGAGAGAAAGAGAGAGAGAGAGGTGACCGCTGCTGCGCCGCGGGGCGAGTGAGGGAGAAGGTGACCCGCAACTCGACGGAGATCGGCGACCCTACTCACCTTCTACCACCACTGGCCGACCCAGAACTACCCCTACCTCGCAGGACCTCGCCAGGGAGATCCACTCGTACCAGATTGTGCCTTGGCAGGGAGACCGAGATGGCAAACCACCTGGACGCACACATGGAAACCCAAGGGGCCACACCACTGGGAGGAGACGGCATCGCCAACGCGTCCCCCAAGAGAAAGATGACCGAAGACGGGCTCACCATTGACGCAATCCGGGAGGTCATTAAAGGCGAACTACGTGTAGAACGACGAGAACTGAAGACCGAGCTCATGACCGAAGTCAAGGGAGCAGTCGAGAGGGTGGAACAAGTCGAACAGTGCGTCAGCTCCCAATTGGCCAACACCCTCCGACTACTACAAGAACTCACAGACAAACACCTAGCCCAGGGAGAGACCCTGCAGAAGATCGAGGAAGCCCAACAACACCAGAAGGACGTCCTGAACACGCTCATCAACGACAACCTGGCCATCAACACCCGCCTCGCCCTCTTGGAGGGGAAGTTCGGTCAATGGCAGAGCGGGAAAGTAGGAGGGAACAACGCTTCTTCGTCCACGGAACCCTCAGAGGAGGGAAGACGCCCGGCACTCATAATGGGAGGGTGGAAAGAAGACACACCAGCGGCAGAAACACTCCAACACGCGCAGCAAGCCGCAGCCACATTACAACTCGAGATCAACATGCGGGATGCGTTTGTGCCGGGAATACGCCGCGGGTACGCCATCATCCCACTCCCACATAACCAAGACCCACAACAGCGGGAGAAGGTCCAGCAAGCCCTGCGCAAAGTCAGAGACTCCAACGTCATCCTGGGGACCAAACCAGATGGACAACCCCAACGCCTTTGGCTCGCCACCTCGCAGAGCCCGGCCCGGCGGGCAAAGGCCCGCCTGGCTGGGAGGACCAAACGGCTGGCGCTGGATTTGGGAGCACAACTTGGCAACGTGGAGGCTGAGTTCGCGACCGGCACCGTGTGGCTTCGAGGGGAGAAGATCAGCTCAGCAACCGCGCAGCCACACGCCACCTCTACACCAGCTGGCTCTGGATGGGTGGACCTGCCGACCGTAGCCAAGCTACTCCGCCTGGAAGAAGAGGAGGTGGAAAAGCACTGGAGCTCCATTCGTCGGGAGCTCTGACGCCCCCGCCAGAACACACACAGCCAAAGACTGTCTCACCACGCACCAACCTGCCAACAGTTCCAGATAATCACCTGGAATGTGGGGGGGACTTCGGGCGCAACAGGCGCTCGACATGGCGTCCACACTCAAAGAGGACACATCCCTAAGGGACACCACAGTGCTCCTCCTGCAGGAAATTTGCTGCGATGCAGGACTTCAATTCGACCATGCCCCCCCCCTGGCAAATTATCTGGGGGAAAAATGCAGGCGACTAGCGTGGAACAGCCGTACTTTACCAGCGCACGCTCGGGAGTACACGACCCAGAACACCGAGAAGAAGCGGACCACCCGGTCGATGACAGACGCAGACGCACCCACAACGGGGCGAGCAGCGACTAAACCCACTAGCCCCGGACCCCCTATGACCCGTGAGAACCCCTGTTTGACCCCACTCCGCAGCTCGCGCCCGGCAACCACAGGTCAATGCACCTGGGGAGAAGCCTGACACACCAGGCCGACACACCGCCACAACTAAGACCACCCGCAAACAATGCAAGCTGTGGCCATACTTACCCCAGTGAAAATGATCCCTGACCCACCAATTTCCCCAAATAGTGCAAGCTGTTACCACACTTACCCCAAAAGAAGGCGGGGGATACCAGATACCAGAGCAGCGGAGAACTGTCAGCTGCCCGTACCAACAACATCCTCAAGTGAATAGGCCCCCTAACACCTGACCCTTGCCCGAACACTTCACCCCACCAAACTGGGCAAGCTACCAGACGTCTCACCATAACCAGCCGTCCTGAACAGCCCACAACCAGACTCCCCAGAGAACCGTTGCTGTTGTGAGATAGGGGATTCACCACTGGCCTAGCATACTGGGGGAGTCAACATGTTGTGGAGGGACGAAGGGTTAACTAAGCTGGACAGGGAACGAAAGGGAGCCGGTTCCTGTATAAACCCACGTCGTGCTTGGAGGCCCTGGCAGTTCCACAGCTTCAGTTCATCCTCCACTCTGTAACGCACGCCTTCGGGCGGCCCCCTTGAATAAAGGGGGTTAGGTGCGCAGAAAGAAAAAAGAGAGAAAGAGAGAGAGAAAGAGAGAGAGAGAGAGAGAGAGAGAGAGAGAGAGAGAGAGAAAGACAGAGAGAGAAAGAGAGAGGGCGCATGTTGTGGCATTTAGACAAGATTCGCGACATGCGGGATCGGGGCGCGCCTAGCCGCAGGGTCCGTCCCTATGCCCCAAAGAAAGAAAGAGGGAGAGAGCGAAGAGAGAGTATGGGGGGGGGGGGGGGCCTTCGCTGGGTGGAAGAAGAGTAGGGGGGGTTGATTGAGGAGCGTCGGGTATCTCGGAGAAGTGGCATAGCATCCATCTGGACACAATTCTGAAACCGCAGTCAATCCTGGCGCGCCTAGCCTGCAGAAGAAGAAGGAGAAGAAGGAGAAGAGGCGAGATAGAAAGGAAGAGGTCATAACAAAGTCGAAACGCATGTGCGAACTTGGTTTCATCAGCCCCATCAACTGCCTGACGAAAGGATGCCGCTGCAGCCGTTGCTGCAGTCACTGGCGACCGAGGGGCAGATGTGGTGCTAGAGATGGTTGGCCATAACCAGGCATGTCTCCCAAAGTTTACTTGAGTCGACGCCAAAATCGGCAGCGTCTTCGGGTCGTATGTTTGTGTTCCCTTTCACTTACTGGCATTGCCAGTGGCGATTCTCTGCTGCCTCGCAGGCTACGATCAATGATGCTTTGGAGCTTGTGGCGAAGCGTGGCCCCGCCTCTGCAAAACCAGACGTTGCATGTAGTTAATGGGGCATGGACCGTCACGGAGCTTGTGCTTCCTGTTATCAGGTGTGTGTGTGTGTGTGTGCGAGAGAGAGAGAGAGAAAGGGGTGGCTGTAGCTCCTCTCAAGACTTCGCTTGAGGAACTGATCTGGTAGGCTCTGTAACGAACATTGAAGCCCTGAGGTACCGTGGTTGCATTCGGTGTGCCGGATGATGCGGCCACTTTGCTCCCACTTAGTAATGTTATGTCTGTTTCGAAGCCGAGAAGTCAGCGCAGTTCGCCTTGTCTCGGCACTGTGGCTCAGCACCAAGGTTTACAGCACATTCCAGTTCGCCAAATTCTTCCGAAAGAATGTGACTTTGATGTCCTCCGTGATACCAGATCCAGGCAAGCTCTGCGCGAATTGCTGGCTTCAGCAGAGCTTCAATCATCTCTCTCTCTCTCTCGCTCTCTCGCTCTCTCTGACTCTCTCTCTCTCTCTCTCTCTCTCTCTCTCGTTCTTTGTGGGAGGCGTGGACTTCCCAGAAGCCGTGGAGCTCCTCGAGCGGGGCAGCTTCAGCACCGAAGGCCTCAATCACGCGACTCGTTTCGGAGAATCTCTGGGGGCACCGGGGTCCGAGGCATCTTCACTCATGTCCTCCCTCTCGCTGAAATTCAAGAAGCCTTTACGCTTGCTTCAGAGTGCCTTGGCCAAGAGGGCAGCTTTTGTGTGGCCTGTGAGGATCAAGACTGCTCGACGGAACTTGTGAAACTTCACTTCGCTGCCGATGAGGGTTGATCCACATCTTGCTTGGCTGTTGCGGTGCTCTAGCTCTCTTGGAATAACCAGCAAATCATGCTATGTCATGAGCAGACAAGAAGCCCAAATCATCACATAGGCACACGCCCAGCAACCTTGATTGATGCTTTGACCCTGAGAACGCAAGACTACTGAGTTCAAGGTATCGCGAGAATGTGGTGAAAGTTGTTATCGACTTCCAGTGAATCTTTCTGATTGCAAATAGCTGCACATTAGCATTCCGATGCCGTCGCTGAATGCAGCGCCAGTAGGGAAGTGCAGCGTGCGTCCCTTTTCTCTTTGCTTTTCATCCCTCCTCGCGTAGCACCCTCTCGTCACCCTCGCCTGACTGCTTACTCGGGCCTGCTTACCTACCTGCTTCCCCATTCTTTCCCCTGTCTCATCCATGACTGGCCCGATGCAGCGTGAAAACCAGCGTGCAGAAGCCTACGTTGCAACCATAAGTAGACACTAAGTAGGAGCGGCTCTGCAGGAGAAGCTATGCCTGGATCCAAGACGTGAAGAGTGCCGCACGGGGAGGGGGGTCAGGGTGCTTGAAGCGCTACTGGTGGGCAAGGACTTTCAGGAGCATGAGGATGGCTTCGTGGACACATGTGGAATCATGTGGACACTCATTCTTCAAGATCTCGGTGCTTAAGGATGCCATCATCATTGGTGCCGGAGTTATTGGAAACTCCATCGCGACCGAGCTTTCTCGCAGTGGCTGGTGCAAGCCTCAGTAACAGGGATGTCCTGTGGTGAGCAAACTGCTCGGTCGCCTTGAGCAGTAAGCAGGTGAAGGGTTACTGCCATTGTGTAGTGTGGAATGCTGCATGTTCATTTGGCTCCGGAACATCTTGGTGCGGTCAGTCTGAGCTGCAGCTGAAGGAGTGCAGAAGACCACAGATCGCACAAAGCTTCATGACCTTCATGCCATGTCTCAGGCGCACGCTTAATGTGGACAAGCTCTCTGGCGCGGGCCAGGGTTCCACAGGTGCGTGAGATGTCAATTGTCAATTGAGTACTGGTTAGAGTCGGCAAGACAGGTTTCTGTCAGTTTCGCTTCTGAATGAATCCCAAAGCCTCGGTCGGAATACGTATGAATCCAATCTGGCAGGCTACTCTTCAGGCATCTGCCGCACAATGTGACGACCTCAGCACTCCGCGTGTGGAGTCTGCAGTCCCGCTAATCCCGCTAAAAAGAGAAATTCGCAGCATCAGGTACAGCGTGCTGGATAGCGTGAAGTTTGCCTGGGCAGCCTGGTTGCAGGAAGAACGCACAGGAAAGCTCGGAGAAATGGTTACCGTACAGATGTCTACGATGCCTTCTTTGGTGACGACAGCGAAAACATGCATCACAGAGAATCTCAGGAGGGATACACCTACTTTGAGAACTGGGAGGATCACATTGGTGTGAAGGTGCGGGTCGAAGCTTCGCGTGCTTGTCTGCTGGGCCTCAGTGAGGCAACTGGGAGCTCATGGAAGCTGCAGCTGTTGAAAAGCCATAAAATCTGGGAGCATTGGAGTTGGCTCATCTCCCCTCAGCTGCCCCACTCAAGCGGACAGCGGCCGACACAGTAGGCATCGTTGCTCAGCTGTTGTTGTGCTCGTAGTGAAGTCAAGTCACGAGAAGACAAGCAACATCTTCCACAAGCAGACAAGTACAAGAAACGAGAGCGCATGGAGTACAGGAAAAAGAAGCAAATTGACATTTTTTCAGTCCGACCGTCAGCATGCCACGCTCACTTAGCTCTGTTTCCATGATAGCCGGGAGCCTCCACACGGCCATCCTCGTACACGACAAGCACTTCAACTTTTTCGGCTTTGCAGCCTGTAGGTTCCTGTAGGTTTCCGTGGCCATGGCCGAGAACGTCTTAGACGACCTTGAGCCGCTCTTAGGCCCAGCTGGGATTTGTGCTATTGGTGGTTAGGAGCCTTGTAGAGCCACCAGGTTGCAACAGCGTCAAAGGAGGGGCTGCAGTGAAGAGACCTGAAGGAGGGAGTGAAGAGCCCTGAAGCCCGAACCACGCAAACACCCCATGAACACCGGATTCCTCAGTGGTCCTTTCACAAAGACTTGAGTGGAGGCCGGGGTGTCCGGCTTCCCCAGCCTCTGGGCCCAGCCTGGGGCCAAGAAAATGGGGGGCGGGGGGTAAGGATTCCAGACAGTCTGGGGGCTTTGAGTAATTTTGATTTCCAGGGTGCAGGGCTACCTTTGCTGGTGGCTGGAGGAGTTGGGCTGGGCCGTGCATGTCACAGTGCTCTTTGACGAGGTCTGCTCGGTAGAAACGGTAGAAGTACACAAGAAGTACACGGGTCTAGCCGATCCAGAAGGTCACAATACTGTGGCCGCCACGGTGGCCTGCTGAGGTTCGGCTTTTCCCGCTGCTGCCAAAGGCAAGGGTGGCAAATCACGGAGATTCGCTTCACACACCTCGGGTCGTAAATGGCTTCCCGCAGCTGGTACTTCAAGTGAGTGCCCCAAACGGTGGGCATGGCCCCGGGCTTAAAAGCTTTAAAACCCACTCGGTAGCCATGCCTGCAATAGCCAAGTGTTCGCACTGTGACTTGTCGAAGAGTGGACGCCAGGTTCCGGGCAGTGGCACCGTGCTCATCCTACACGGCGAGCAGCAGGACCATCTGATATAATTGCAGCTTTTCGCTGTAGTAGCTGTAGAGGTCACACTGAGCACAGCAAGACTTGCTGTTTCTTGAGCCATGGCTACTGTATCCGCAGCGTAAGTACCTTCTGTTTCGGTATGGCTTGCATTCTGGTGGGATGCTCCCGAGGACTGGCTTGGCAATCAGAGCAAAGGCAAGCCTAGGGCTCCTTGTCGCCCTCAACTCCCGGCTTTGTGCCTCTTTATGAGAACCAAGTGGCACAAGCTTGGACTTGTGTTTGTGCGGCGGTTGGTTCCTTCGCGGCACCCAAACCATCCCCCGCTATCCCTCCTGAACCTCAGATGGTGCTACGCCTGGTGGTGCAACCGCCTTGGGATTGGCGCTGCGAGGCCGCCACATGGACATTGCAGGATCTTCGAATCAAGATTAATGGTTTACGAAGGTGGGGCACAGATCTTTCCTGTTTCGGAAATTCAAAAAACCGCCTTGCTATGGCTCAAGCCCGATCTGGGAAAGCACTGCCGCAGTGAGCCGACAAAGCTAGGCTTGTCGCTCACATGCGGCGCGAAATTCAATAGATGCAGAGCGCGAACCTGGCGTGCTGATATTTGGGAGATGAATGCTTAGATGGCCATATGGCAGGTCAGGTCTTCAACCTCAGGTCACGGGTCTGACTGCTGGTTGCCACTGGTCTCCACAGCCGCGGCAACCCAAGAATCGGATCTTCAATCCGTGCAGGCACTTGCATCGGGCAGTCCGATGTCCCGATTCGTGGATAACGGATTGTCAAAGTGGATGCAATGCCGCAGTAAGTAGTCCAATGTGAACGAAATTCTCGCCAAGTGCCACCAGCCCCAATTGGTCGAGCAAGCGGGTGAAGGCTAGGCTTGTGTCCTTCGAGCGTTAGAGACCAGATGGTCAACATCTGGGTCCCGAAAGGAGGGAGGCACCTTCCCTGAAGGATTTGACTGCGCAGTACTGCGCTAAATGTCCACCCGAATCGATGCCATCTCTGGGCATGCAACAAGTGACAGCTGTCGGCAATTGTCGGCGTCTTCCCGGGGCCCCTCACCAACTTCAGCACGTGGAAGGTGCCTGGAGAACTGGCCACGAAGTAAAAATCAACGCATGAAGAAGGCAGAAAGCGCGGCGCAGGTGCCCCTCCAATTTCACCATTTTTGCAGCAGAAGGTCGGCAAAGGGCCATGGATGCCATGCGCCACCGTGATATCAGCTCCGAAGCTTAAGCCATGCGCAAGGTCGATAAATGAAGAACAGTTCCGGCAATCCAGCAACTGGCGCGCCACCCAGTCGTCCAGCTGTTGAACCTTTTAGGGGTTGGGTTTGTGTGCATCAGGCTCGGCTGGGTGTAAGTTCCCATTAACTGAGAAATGACTCACTCGCATTTGCAGCAATGCGGGCTCACTTGAGCCACTGACCCACAGCCACAACAACGTGATCATTCAGATTTTGCCAATGCAATGAGGCATGCAGACTGTCTCCACAGTGTCCACAGCCCGGAAGAGATGAAACCAACGATCTCATGAGAGCGCGTGGGACTGCATAAGCAAAGCCTACGACGAGGAGGTGGCGGAGGATCGCAGCGTAAAGTCAAAGCTGCATCTCGATCTAGACCTTCGGATGAGCCTCGCACGACCCTTTTCGAACAGTAGGATTGCTTGTCCTGAGCCGACTAGAATGACGCGCAAAAAGTCCGGGTCATGCCCGCTCTCCCCACTTGACAGGAACCACCACCCACATTTTGAGGGGGTGCCCAACTGGTCCACACTTGCGTGATTGCATTGCCTCTCACACAAGGGGGGGGGGCATGTTTCGGCTGAGAGAGTGAGTGCCAGCAACGTGTTTCATGAACTGGGAGCCCGGCCACACATTCAAAGCACGGGGGTGATGCCTTGGCAGGCTTGGGTTTCACAGCCGTGTGTCTTGGCCGCGCTCACGCACGAGCTCTGCAATTGTTCCGCTGGTCGCTTTGGAGGTTCAGTAAGTTGCAGCTTCCGGTGCTTCGCTCGGATTTCTAGGAGATCGTAATCCAATCATCTTCATGCTTCACCATCCGTTGAAGTTTCGTAGCGCGGTCGCTGGTCCTATTGCGAGATGGGATGAGACGTAGCCCGGTACTTCTCAGCTTGCCGTCAGGCTTACGGCTTACCACTGTAGCTGCCACATCCAGGCTGTTGGATTCCTTTTTCGATGATCGGCGCGATCGCCTGGAGAAGCCGACTCAGGAGCGTGGCCTCGGGGGCTACCTTCAAGCCGCAACCCCTGCATTCCTTCTTGACTTGGTTTGGTGGCATCAGTTGCCTCTCTACTCCCGGCCCCCTCCCGATACAGGCCCTGAGTGAGAACAAAAATGTTGTATGTACCCCCAGTCGGATTGCAGGCTATCGACCGTCGAGCAGCTGGGATCAAGGATTAACGAGTCATATGCCGATGTTGTGACTTTTTTAGGGTTTCTTCGGGATGTCTTTGGACTTCTGACCTTGTCTCATCAAAGATGTTCCGGCTTGTTTCGCTTGGCCGGCATCAGGTATCCGATATCCTAGCTGCCTTGGCGTATGTACAATCACGCCGCTTGGCATGCACACAAGTCACACACAAGCGTACTTGTTCGTGCTAGCCTTGTGATGGACAATTATCTGTTGTTTCAGGAAATTTTCCTCCTCCCTATCACCTCTACGGCCAGTCGCAAGGCCGCTACAAAACGCATGGCATAGCTGTGCCTCAGTGCTTCCTCGTCTATTTTCTGTGGCTCTGTCGGCACTGTTCCCAAGCAGGTGCGAGCACGGTCTTGCGACTCTTTGCAGCCTCAGCTCGCCGGGACGTCCGTGCACGGGAGGCCCAAGTGTAGAGGTTGACAGAATTAACCACTGCATGGTCCCATAGTAACATAGTATTCGTGCTCATGTTTCTCACTCAATGTTCCAGTAATCTGTCAGACATTGAAGCGTGATGTGACCTTTGTGCAGGCACGTTGGGCTTTAAGTTGCCTGCCGCTTGGCCTTTGAATCGAGAGACAAGCTAAAGGGGTGTCTGAACCTGCGCGCTGACATTGCGAGCCTTCTGTGCCTTCGCCGCTTTGCACCTGACGTTCTGCAAAACCCTGAGGTCCTCCTGTATCTGCGAGGGAGAAGCCACCATGGATGACCAGGCTCGCACTGAGATACTCCTTTTTGAGGCATTGGTTGCTTGCAGCTAGCCGGCCTTTATGGCAGCTCACACGTCTTCCAGTCAAGGCTGGTAGCTGGATATATCTTGTTTTAGCATCCAGTGTCTCACCCTTGAACTTTGTGCAATGCCCTTCATCGAAGACCTCCACAGCTTCGCAACCTGAGGAGTTGTCTCCACTTCAGCTGGCTTCAGAGATACTTGAATCAATCGAGATGACTCCGTAGTTGTGGGGGTGAGCTGGGGAACTTAAGCTACCAGCTCACGATGCTAATTAGGCTTGAGTCATCGTGTCGGAACACTTTCTGGGGGTGGGAGGGGTCATCATTGATAGAACCGACTTGAGGTCACGAAGCTAGGTCGGACACTCCCCTGATACTGCATGGGCCACTCGGAATGTTGCCCCGCTCTTGAGATCTATTCTAAAGCAGTTGGGGTGGCTTGTCTGTGAAAAGTTAGCTTGATGATCAAGACCTGGCTCTTGAGGCAAGGCCGCGTGCCTCCTTTGCTGCTTTTGGCTGCGGAGGCAATTCCGCACTTACAGCGGAAAGCAGGGAGGGCAATATCTCCCAATCTGCGCCCCGAACATTGCGACTAGTCGCCGGTTGGTGACCCGCAAGTCTTTGGAGCGACCATGCGCAATCCAGCGGACTCCTGCAAGTCTCCTTCAGCAGGCAGCCGCTCCAGCAGTGCAACGCGCTGCCTCGGCAATGGGCGGGAGATCTGTGCAGGCAGCTTCTTTGGCCAGATGAAATAAGATGAAATGGCTTGTCATCGTCGAATCGTCGATGCAACTCCTATCATGATGACTCGTCAGGAGTGTGAAAAGCTTCAGCTTGACGGTCGACGGCATGTGGACTGCTTGGTCGAGTGCCTTCGCCGAAAACTGCAACCCCGACTTTCGCACATTCAGATGTCTCTACGGAGGTGAAGTGCAGGTGGTCGAGTCTGTCTGCTGTGTGTTCATGTTGCTTACGTGTTTCTTTTGTGGTGTTGGACGGCTTGGTCCGAAGGACTCGCCTCTGACTTTGAAACGTGCACTGCATCCAGCTTCACAATTGCTGACCACCGCTTCAACAATGCTGAAGAAAGGTGCCGAGTGGTCGACGGCTCTGTCCGCTGCGTTGCACGCACTTACGATGCTGCTGCTGGGCTGCATCATGGAGAGCCTCGCTGTCGTACAGTGCACACACAGGAGGCGAACAGGATATAGCATCCTCAACAGTGGTGATTACAAAGATGCTTTCAAGGTTAAAGATCGCCGCGGACAGAAGCTTCAAGATGATTCCGGTGAGGACGTGGCTTGCTGCTGCAAGGGGATGTTCTTAGACCAGACACTGTGAGCATAGCCAAGCATGTTCTACTTGTAGCAACATCGAATGGCCTTGTCAGACGGGACCGAGGTGGCCAATCACATGTCCACCATGGCCTGCGCCTGGCTGCAGAGATTCAACCCGGAAATTTGGCAAGAAGCAGGCGATCACTGCCTGCATGCTGTTAAACGCGCAAAGTCAGCTCCTACTTCTTCCTTCGACCTTAGCCACACCGGGCGGAATTTCAAAACAAAAGCACCAACAATGCATAAACAATTGCTTACACACCAGCTTCTCGACTGTTACAGGTGAAGATGAAGGGGACGAGCTGGCACAATGCATGCCGGTCGCCCCTTTATGATCTGACCTCATTGATGCGAAGTGAAGTTTGTTCCAGTCTTGAGGATTATCCCAGGGCATAATCCAGCTCCGCTCTTCCCATGGACAGCTACGCCATTTAAATTGTACAGCAGATGGCCGAGCAGTAGCCTTGCGCCATACAATGCGCAGGCATTGTTGGTGGATGTTGTGCGAGTGTCCTGCGTAGACAGTGACGAACCGCTGATGAGGCTGGTGCTGCAGTCGCTCTAAGATGCTCTAAGTAGATTCGGGCATGGGGGGTGTGGCTGGAGACACTCACATGAGTAGTATCGGGTATGGGGCGGCGGGGTGGGGGGGTGGGGGTTGGGGTGGTGGGGGTGGCTTGCAAGAGTGGCTTGGACTAAGCAAGTTGTTGCCGTCGAGAGCGCAGAGGCGAGAAAGTAGGACGCAGAACCTCAGAACCACTCGCTTATTTCCTGGTTTCTCTCTGAACCTCAGCACGAGCCATCATGGGACCGCCCATGCTCAATGCATCGGCGCAGAGTCCCCGCTTGGTGAGTCTAGCGACGCTGGCATTGTTGCTAGCAGGTGCAGCGAGCCAAAAAAGAGCGCCATGCTAAACGCAGTCCATGCTCACACAACCAACACCAAATCCGAAGCTGCACCTTTGAGGGTATTGCGTTTCTTTACTACTTGGCCACCCTCACGGGGCGCATCGTGCCAACAGGCCTTTGTAGGATGTTCAGACACTTTCCCCTAGACTCTGCGCAGACTCTGACACTGCGAACCCTAGAGCTGCCAGAAGCAAGACCCGGGCGCTCCTGCAAACTCCAGAGTCCGCCTCGAACTCTGCAGAGAGCATCAGACCTCGTTTGTTAGTCAAGCAATGCGTCTAGCGATTGAAGCGGTTGAAGCACGGTGAAACTTTGCTTCGCAACTCCTGAGAGGATCCTCGCGGGCTCGCGCGCTTGCGCCGCTGCGGGGCCTTGGTCCTTCGCTCGGAGGACGGGCACATTGCACTGGTTTTATGCGAAATTTGACTTGTAAACATCGGCAGACGCATGCCTTAATGTCAAGGAGAGTGTTCGAGGGTCCTGTCCTGTGCCAGTCGCAATAGTTCTTGCCAGGCTTCGGAGCAGTTCCTGGATCGAGTGGCCTCTTGACCGAAACTAAGTTAGCTTAACTGTAGATGCTTTGGGTCATCGTGCAATTTCAACCCTGGGACACTTGGGAGTTCCACACCACTTTCCATGCATTCTTGCCTCAGATGTAGCTTTGATTTTTCGGGTTTGGACAGTCTTTGCAAGCAGCGTTGAGACGGTTCACGTCACCACATACCGCCACATGCAAGACCCGCCACATACCGCCACATGCAAGATTGCAAGCCACGACGCGGTGGGGTTGCCATACGAGCTCTGGGAGGCGGGAGGTGTGAAGAACAGTTTCACCAACTCTGCGTTTTGATACGTTTTGCAGAGGCTTGGTGACCCTTTCTGCACAGGCGTCTGATGTGGAGGAGAAGCTTCGCTTTGACCTCCAGAGCTACAGCCCTCAGGCAGAGTTTCGTCAAAATTAAGGCAGTGTTCCTATGATCCGAGCATTCTGCGCCTCCAAAAGACAATCCAGTGCAGTTCTTATTCAAGTTGACAAGTGCCATGGCTTTCGGTAAGCGTGAAGTGGCAACTAAGTCAGTTTCGGCACATGAGTTTTGTTGGGACTGTTAGGACCTGGGGGCTTTTGGTTCAAGATGCTTAGGGTAAGGACAGGCGCAAGGCAGAGTGACACGAATTGAGCAGCGGCATTTTTCACGGTTACTCCAGTCAATTCAATCCGGAAATAATGCCGGGAACTGGCGGGCGGGGGCGAAACGGCATGGGACTGTGGCCGCCGAAGCACGCCGAGGGGCTTGCGGAACACATCTCCGCGGAAGCTCCCCTGGAAGACATGCGCTGTGCATGTACTGCGTGTGTATTCCCAACCACGATCTCGGTTCGAGGGGGGACTCACTTCTACGGTTGCGCACCCCAAAACTAGGATTTCCCAACCATGCGAGCCCCCATAGAGGGTTTACGTCCGCGACGTTTGACACGAACTCGGCGGAAGCCACGCTGGAGCTCTGCGGAAGCTGTGCGGGTGTCAATATCAAGGCCTGGGCCTTTACTTTTGAGGCCGTACTCTTGCCAAACGTCACATCAGCTTTGTATGCTCAAGCAGAAAGTCAAATTATCGCAGAGAGCGTCCAGCAACACAATGTAGTTGCTGAAAGCACCTCGGATGCACATAAGCGCCGTACTGGAGTCCCACACCCGACTTCTCACCTACTCGCGGAAACAAATTTCAAAAGCCTCCCGGAATGAGCTCATGGAAACGTCCGCGGAAGCAAGCCCCCCGGACCAGTAGAGCCAAGTACTCCCGGAAGGAATCCGCGGAAGGGCTCTTTTCCACGGAAGGCGTCTTTGCTACTAACAGAGAGAAATTTCTGTACACCGGGAACAACCGTGGTTCCCGCCCATTTGCCTGCTATCTCGGAAGACTCGCAAGACCCACCTTTGTCATTTCCGATCCTGTGATAGTCTGGCATGTCCATGACGGATCACATTTGGCAGAAATAAAGCTTAATGACTTGAAAGCTCGCAATTGCAGGTACGAATTGACGACGACACCTTTGGGGAGCCTCGTGGAAAGAGCATTTCAGGAGGTGTTTTCTTCCCCATGGCAGGCTGGGTCCGCCTTGCTCTTCCATAAAGATTCTGATGCTTTTCATGATATCCATGTCAATCGTCTGGAGGCTACGTCAGCGACCCCATGCTCGCGGCCAGAAATCTGCAGACCGCAGCCGAGGCGTGTGGATTCCACAGCTTTTGGAAAGGTCTCCAGGCCTGTAATTTGCAGGCAGTACTTGTGCCGCTAGCGCAGCCGGGTCGGAGAAGCATTCATTTCACGTGGGCTCTCATGAAGGCGACGGGGCGTGCAGAATTTCTCTTCGGCCCGGGACCCAGCTAGCATTGATGCGATCGACCTGTCCATGGATGCCTTCCTGTGTTCGGAGTGGAGGGCCACGAGTGCAAGTCTGAGTGAAAAGAGCTTCCGCTCGAAAATCATCCACTGCTCGCTCGGTTCGTTGTTCGGTGTCCTTTGACTTGGGGATGGGGCACAGTCCTTCAAAACGCTACTGTACTCCCCAATCTAGGTCTTGAGGAGGTCCGCCGGCTCCTGGTCCTATGAATCCTGCCAGTTAAGCGGAGTCAAGCCAAGCTCCCCCATCTCTCACGGGGCTTCTGAAGGTGAGACTGTGACGGCCATTCACAAAAAGGGCGGACGGGTTGCAGGCGCACACCGGACACGTCACCAATTTCCACCCTTCAGCACGCCAGTTGCGAGCCTAACATGACTTCACATGGCGTAAGATCGGCGATGTACTTGGACTGCGAGCTGCAAACCATTGCAAAGCCTCCTTTCGACTTCAGCTCGCTGGCAGTTCCTGCCCTGCCTTTTGATTCGCCGCCAGGCATCAGCTGTGCTAGCGGCTTGGAGCTGGAGAGTCCGGTGGTTGTCAACGTGGCAGGGCCACACTCTGCGCAGGCCAGGTGCCTTGGATGCTTTTGATTTTTTTGGGGGCAGGCGTTGCAGAGGGGTTGAATGCAAGTTGCCGACAGCAATCAAAAGTGCAAGAGGTGACACAGCTGGCTTTCGCAGATCCGATGGAGAATGACATGGCTATCAGCACTCGACCCATGCGCCAGGCTCCGATACACCACATAGACGCACCCGGGTGGCGAGATCTGAAAGTCCCCGTCAACTGTCTGCAACCTTTTGCCATTCAGGAGGTTGCATATGTCAACCCGCCACCTGGAGTGTCCTGGGATGAGGACGGCCCAGGCCAAGGAAGACTTCTTGAGTCGTGGGTGTGAGAAGCAAAGTGCAAAGAGGCAGGATTACAGGTCGCAGAAAGCCCGGGTTAGAATGTGAAGAAACCCGGGTTACTGTATCGTCACCGCAGCTACCAGGGAACTGTTTCTCGGCACCCACCGCAATCCCTAATTTCGCTGGCAGGCTTGATTTGCACTGACCTGGACGTGGGAGTGTACTTCAGGCAGCGGCCTTGGCGCACCCAGAATCACAACATGTTGCCTTGAGAAACACCCGCGATCGCAAAAGAAGGCCAGAGGTCGGCGGCAAGATCCTTGTTGGCAGCGTGGAGCCGCAGTGCGATGAGGTTTGGTGGCATATGGTGGCATCAAAGCTTGGAAAGGGCTACGACTGCTCAGAGTAAACGAAGGCTTAAGCCGTCTGTGTAGTATAGTAGAGCTCTCGGCAGCAAGTCAGCCGGGCGTGTACGGCGTCCTTGCGCGGAGGCTTATCACGTCTACCCCGAGGATCCAGAGGCAGGGACGCTGGTTCAAAGTTCGCGGGCAGAGAGCCACGAAGTTGTTGTCTGCACACCTCTGCCTGTGTCAATAAGTGCAAATGTCATAATGTGTGCTCCCTTTGTGTAGTTCGTGTCAATGGATTGTCTCGGCGCGGAGCGTGCGGATCAAAGACAGAAAACTTAGACTTAGACTCACATGAACTTCAAACCCTCTATGCGTGTTTTTCTTTGTGTGTGTGTGTATGTGCGTGTGCGCCAGCTGTTATTTGGCAGAGAGGCGGTCTATCCGGGCAGAGAGCTGTCGACTCTGACCGATCAATGGACAAACCAGGCCACCGAGTAGAGTCGGAGAGTGGTGCTGGCCATGGCCGGCTTTTCCGACAGCTTCTTTCTCGCTCCGTTCTTTGTTCTTTGGAATAGCAGCCAATGGACATCTGTATGCTTTGCCTGCACTTTGTGCTGCACGCATCGCCTGAGCTGCCTAGGCTGCTCTGACGCACTCTTCTGAGGTTAGAGTCCAAGTCCGCGACAGGTGTACCGCCTGGCCTTGCGGATGCCATCCTTGCATCTACCTGACTCGCAAAGTGCGCAAGTCTGGACCTAAGACACAAAAGACACAAAAAGGCTTAGCAAGTGTAGGAAGTCATCCTCACTATGTCGTCTGAGACGTACTACGGACAAGTTAGGGACACAGTGACGAGTTTCTTTTCATGTGTGGCCGCCTTTTGGCTGTATTCGCAGGTGTTGCTTGTGCAAGCAAGAGTGGCTGGCGCCATGTGTTTGCCGAGGGCTGCAGCGCATGCTACGATGTGACGGAGGTCGACCCTGTGAAAGAGGGCGGTGCGGGAAACTAGAAGCTTAGGCCTACTGCAGTTATTCGTTCAGCATGTTGTCGCTTCTCGCGTGTGTCCAAACGCAGATAATCGCATGCATTTAGCAGATTTATTTAGCATCTTGAGTTACTGGCCAGGACTGGGTTCCCATCTACGACAAATCTTCCTTACCAGGCAGGAAGTTTCAGGAACATGCCGGAATGCAGGGCAAAGGGGTGCTTTGATGGTGCTTTGCTGGTGCTTTGCCGCCTTCGTTGTGCCAACCTTGTAGGCTTCTACATGGCAATCGGCACCAGCGGCAACCAGTTCAAGAACGCCGGCGTCGCGGGCCGGCTCATGCGCGAGCTTATAGAGGCTGGGGCATTTGCAGTATGCAGATTTTTGACATGTCCTCCTCTTCTCTTCGTTTCACTGTGGCGATGAATTCCTACTTCTTTTGTTTGTATATCTCCAGTTCGGTCTGCCGGTCTTCGGCCACAGGCCACCGAAGGAGGCCGAGACATTGACAAGAGTCCTCTGGACTTCCAGCTGACGAGGCTGGTTGTTCTGAATGCTAAGCCTGCTAAGAGCCCAAAGCAGGGAGTCCTGGTCGATCTGTAAAAACTTCAACCCACACCAGCCTCAGAGCCCCCAAAGCCACATCAAGCAACCGGCGTGGATACAGTCCGCGCTGGGCTTGCTAGGGTCACAGATTCAAAAGGACTCAAAATCCAAATGCGCCTAACGGCGCTAAACCGATAACTTCACCCAGAAGACTTCCAAGGCCCTAAGTCCGGCCAAGGGCATCTTGAGAAGCAGAATAAGCTTCACTCAGCCAACCATTCCTTCACCACTAATGTAATCATGTGTTCATGAGTGATGCTCGTTTTATCCGGCGGTCTTACAGCGAAATAGGGTCCATCAGTGTGAGGTTTCGCCTCTTGGCTGGGGAACGTGGGCCTAACTCGGAGTGTGGGTTGCTTCAGTGAAGGCACCTTGTCCTGTTGCAGGGGTGGATTGTCCTGAAGCATGAGTGGACTGCCGTAAATGTCTTTCCGCGCAGATGCTGCCTGAACTTTGGACATGGCAAGTTTGGCACGTCATGGCAGTGCACCTGAAGAGACCTGCCAGGATTCCGGGCAACAACAGCATCTCAAGTGCCACCTTTTCACGCAAGCGGCAGAGGCCACTGACCTCGGTTTAGGGTTTAGGGTACCCGGAAGGTGCTTCATGTGCCGAGAGCTTGAACAGGGCAAGAGCGGCTTTTGGGGAGTTGCGGCTTCAGTCACTTTAGTCTGTGTTGGTGTTGCCCTGTTGGGTGAGTTTGGCTCAGCTGTTCAGCTGTCAACCTGTGTCGTACCTGTGTCGTACTGAATGTGCAGAAGAATTTGACAGGCTTCAGACCAGCGGCTCGGTCCTGGGCTGACCCATGAGGGAACGAGGTGTTGTTTGCACACTTCGTGACGCATCTCATCAGTGGGCTCCTGCGCTTTTAGCCCTGCATTGTCGACATGCTTGCGACGTGTATAGCGAAGGTGGAAAAACAAGCGTCTTGTTGCATCCGCGACGTGCAAGCACAAGACGTTTTAAGCAGTGTAGTGCCTACATGACATCATTTCATGAGATGTAGCTGGTGTAAATTGAAGCGGATGGCTGCCTGCCGGACACGCTGTACTCTGCTCGCGACTACAATATTTAAATGCTCAGCAATTGCTCAAGACCGGAAGCTCTCTCTGGGCTCAAGTCAGATCGCGCCGCGTCCTTGCAGGCCCCGTGTGTATCCCGGTTTTGCTCTCTACGGTATAGTTGGTCTGGTTGGGTAGTTCTGGTGTTCTTAACTGGCGTACCTTACGAGCGGACAGGTCCATTTCACCGACCAAGCAGCGAGCAAAGTTGTTGCTACGAGTAGCGTGGCTCGTGGAGGTGTGAAGGCCGGCGAGGACAATGGCCGACCCAACAAAGGTCACTTCAACAACTCGCGGGATGCTGCCAGGTGCCAATCAGCTCTCTGAAGTGACTGAAGTGGGCTTAATGGTTCAGATTGGTTCAGCATGCTCTGGGTATCTCTGGGTATGTTAGAGTATCTTGGAGCGGGTGCCTGGTGAAGGGCAGCTTATGCTGGTGAGTTCGTAGGCAGGTCAGTGGAAGGAGCGGAGCGTCCTTCACGATGGAGAATTAGGATACCTTGGGGTCTTTCAAGACCAGGCATCCCGCACTATGTCGACCGGGTGTCCGCCGAGTGTATCTGGAAGGAGGGCACGAGTTGAGTGGGTCCGTTGGCTGTGCAGTCTGTGCAGCTTGCCCAGGCTTGCTCCAGTGTAGAAGCTGCTGTATGTATGGTTGAGTTTCGTTTCATTCCTGCAAGTCAGGAGACCTTGGAGAAGGAGACGAGGTTGTTTCAGGAGGCATTGGGACGAGCCATGTTAAGCCACGTCAACCCACACCATGAGAGTTGAGTTGGGGCACAAATTGTCGCTTTGCAGGGCCGGAAAGCGAATCCGGGTCCACCAGCCTATGTGCCATGCCTCAAATTTGCTGCTTCTGATACTTCGACTTCATTGACTCATTGACAGCTGCTGTGAGTTTGGAGTCGAAGGGAAAAAGACGGAGACGTGCGCATGGAGTGTAAGCACGGTATGGCTAAGGTCATGAACCTGGCAAACGCACAGCGGCTGGGTGACCCCCTGGAAGCTTGGACTTCTCCGGGTTTGGGCTTCGGGGGGACTTTGTGAATTGCAGATCGCTGTCACACTGCATGTGCTGTGAAACACTCATGGTGAAAAACTCTCAAAGTGACACAAGAATTTCCAGATACGGCTTTCCAAAGGACAGCCACAGACCCCTTCCAGAGGGTTGTGCGTACCCAGGTCCTTTCATGATACAATTAGGACATTGTGATGCACGTGAGATTTGGAAGAGCAGCATGGGACGGTCACAAGCGCAGCTCAATGTTATGAAGCACGAAATCAAGGCAGGGCTTGAGTGCACTTAAGAGGTTTCCCTGCCTCGCCCAGGCACTGAAGATGCGACTCCTGGCAGCATGTAGGTACTCTGCAGGTGCAGGTTTCAGGTCCAGGTGGAGGTTTCGATATGTTTCGATTCAATGACTTTAGTAGGCGGAGCGTGCAGGGCAGATCAGGGCGGGCTGCGGGGGAGGATGGTGAGGATGAAGAGGGGAGCTGCGACGAAGGAAGTGCTCTGCGGTCCCTTTACACAGGGTCGTCAGACACAGTGGAAGGCCTGACAAGGCCTGTTTCAGGTGCCACTCCTTTCCCTGGCCTTTCAAAAAGAAGTCAGTACTGTAAGGCCGCTACAGCCCTTAGCATCAGCCTCCAAGAGTAATTACATGCAACAAGTTTTGCTGCTAGTTTCACTCGGCGATGATAATGTCAAAATAGCTTGCACATGCCAGCGTTAGAATCTGAAGTCCTTTTCCATCAGGATGTGCGAAGCCTTGCATTTTGCACATGCAAGCCCCTAAACCACCTGCGCCCTATGCGCAGCAATTTGCTGCCGGTTTCGTTTGTTGGTACACACCCCACTGAGGTCACAGCCGCTTGGAAATCATAGCTCCCAAGGCCCGGGTGTGCATGTGCACCGCATTGAGGTCGATGGGCCCCCCAGCAGCTTGCAGATCGTTTAATCGCAAAACGGCAGCCACTATAAGCTCTAGTCGAGTTGAGACTTTCTCGAGCCAGCGCTTGCAGTGCACATCTCGTCAGGTGGAGAAAAACACCCCCCAGGCCATCATGCCCGAGACTAAGATTGTGCAGGTTTTTCCTTAACAGGACTACATGCACCAGCCTGTAAGTATTCCAAGCATAAAAATTGCCTGTACATACTCGCCTTGCCCCCCTCAAAGCCCTATAACACAGATCCGGAGACCGTACCCCCCCCCCCCCCCGTTTGGAATCAGGCGCAAGGTAGTGGATGCCCACGCCCCTCCAAGGCTGGATCCTCTACTCAACCAATACGAAAAACACTCCACCCTAATTAATGGTGAGATTTGCGTGTCTGTGCATGTGCTGGCCACTGTGATCCAAGGCTTGTCGTGTCATGTTGTCGGGATCTGCAGGCAGTAACTACTAGGAATCGAAAGACTGGGAAAAGAACCGCCTATTCGACATCTGGTGCTACTAGTACCAACAGTAGCAAGCATCAAGCTTCTGGCCTGCAAGGTCTGGCGAGGACAGTGATCCCAACAGCTTTGACTACAACGCACTCATGCACACCAAGAAGGCAATGTCGCCACGATGGTACGAACTGCACCGAAAGTGTCTATGCAGAGTTGCGCCTGCGCAGCAAGTAGCAAGTCGCCCTGAATGCAGGCACGTTACCTGCGCCTTTTTCGGGCCTGCATGTTTTTCTAGAATCGAAAAGCAAAGATCACGCTGCTGTGTTGCTTCTTGATTGCTTTGTTGGCTTCCCCTGTCAGATGCCGAGCCAGAAGTGGGATGTGCCCTGCACGCGAGCGCAGGTCGCACTCCGGGGTGCAGTGCGAAAGAAGCCAAAAAGCTCAAGCAAGCACCATGCGATTGCATTTGCTGCTCTTGAAGCACCTGCCTTTGGGGGCCTCCCAGGATGAGAAAACCAAAAAAGCTGTAGTCGAGTCTGATGTCACCTTCGCAGTGAGGATTGCTATAAGTTCATGCCGAAGACGTTGCCTGAACAGAAGCTAGCGACTTGACACCTGCAAAGCAATCATCGTGAGAAGAGCTGCATTGTAACTTGCAGGAGATTGGCTGGCTCATTGCCACTCGAAGCAGCCAGGACCTGAACCTCTGATCAGTTCATTGCAGCAGAGACGCGCTTTTCGTGTGTTTCGTGCAGCTGCCCGACTGCCTTTGCCAATTCTCTCAAGACAAGTACTGGAGGAAGACAAAGGGCCGAAATCCTTTCAACTTTCGCGCCTTTGATGGCCTGAGGTGCCCAGGCTGTCGAAGCCATGCAGGTTCGGAAGAGGTGTCTCCGGCCTGTGAGTAATTCGCGAATCAGCTAAATTCAGGATATAGGCCATCCATGGCCATCTGAGTACCCACCTGAGCCTAGAACCCAGTCTTGCCCAAGAAGATGCCAGTGTGCGTCGGTGATGCTCACCGGTGTGCTGCATTGTTTTGCTGTCGATCCCCTCATTCTCAGTCTCTGCGGTTCTGCTGCTCTGGCTCCCACCCCCATGCCCCATGCTGATGTTAACAATCCGCGCAGCTTAATATGGCACCAGGTGCTGTTATAAATCTCGATCGGGCTTTGTGATGCCTCGTGCACCTTGTGCAGTTTGCAGGTATCCAGAGGCAGAGGCTCTTGGCATTTGCCCGCCGCATGGACACTCAGCTTTGCTCAATCTCAACACACATGGCATAGCTGTCCTTTGCCCGTTTCTCTCAGATGCATACCGTCTCCATCCATCTAGTCCCTTTCGTCTTGTTGGTCTCGAAGCTCGAGGCCACGCAGCGAGTCCCTTCCTAGCTCTGGCCTTAGCCATGGGCTCTTTAGGCCTTTCAAGGCGCGTGCTTCAAGCATTTTCAAGCCTTGAGGCCTGGATCGCCGCCTTCCTCAAGCCCCGCCGGACAAACGGCTCAAGGAGCTGAACAATAACAGGCCCTGGACTTCACGAATCAACGAATCCCAAAGCCAGCTCTTGGGTATGCTGAGTTGAATCGGGTTCTCTGGCAGCCCCGCACATCAGGTTCTATAGACCGAAGACGTGGCCGGCCAAGATCCGACTCTTCATTGCCTCGCATGGTGTCTTGTGATGCTGTTCTTCTTTTCTTATTCCTGATATGACTGTTCTACAATTCTTCGTCTTCTCATTCTTATTGCTGCCGCTCGTGTTGTTACGACGTGTACTTCTTGTTGTTGATGATGATGTTGTGGTTGTTGTTGCTGATGCTTATGAGGTTGTTGTGGTTGCTGCTGCTGTTGCCGCTCCGGCCTTCGTTGTCGTCGTCGTTGTCGTCGTCGTCTTCGTCGTCTTCGTCTTCGTGGTGGTGGTGGTGGTGGTGGTGGTGGTGGCGGCACGCCTGCCTTTCTCAACATTGTTTACTCAACGACACTGACAAACCTGCTGGCGCAAAGGTTCTGCGACATTACGATGTATGCCGACAATTATGTGGCCACCATGCACCATGATCCGTGACTTGGCGACAGTTGGCTCTGGATCTGGTCGTCTTCTGCCGCTTGCAGAAGCGTGCGAAAAGCTGTTTTTGATGCCTTGGAAGGATCTTCGTAGGCGGGGAGCCCGCTCAAAAGCACGGACATATTACATGCGGGGAGGGGCAGGAAAAGGCGAAGACAGAACAGCCTCAGATGACCATGCTGGGACACGCAACTTGCATGGGGAGGGTTTAACTGCCCCGACCCCGCCTCTCCTGTAAAGACAAGAAGAAAGAGGCAGAGACAAAAAAGAGAGAGAGAGAGAGAGACCCCCTGGGGCCTAGACTCCCAGCAATTTGGGACCTCTGCGAAATACTTGCGGAGACCACCCCCCTTAGGGATGTGCATGTCCTCCTACTCCAAGAGGTGGTCTGCGATGCAGGACTTCAATTCGGTGACCACCACAAATGGAAAGCCCTCTACGGGAAAAAGACAGATGGGGGCTACAACGTCGACAACACCGATGACCAGAAAGCGTGGATTCAAGAAGAAGGCATACGCATGAGGGGGCTAGCAGTGACTAACTGATTCTCGCCCCAATGAGGGACAGGGAACATTTTGCTGGGGGAACAGAGGGGGGACCGTCACTAGCTGTTCTTAATCTCATCTGACCTGGCATCGCCCCATCTTGTGACAGAAACCCCACCCCAGCCGGGCCGCAAAGCGCGGTCGTCTCGCATGACACCTCGGACGTGCGCGCCCTCCGGGGCGGCTCTCCTTTCGGGGGGGGCCAAGCGTGTGGAGGGAGAGAGAGAGAGAGAGAGAGAGAGAGCCCCAAGAACGTGAACAAGCCAAGCAGAAGAAGAAAGCCACAGGAAAGAAAGAGCCCCAATGAAAGGAAGAAAGGAACAGAGGAAGAAAGGCAGAGAGAGACAGAGAGACAGATAGCTTGTGACAGCCTGGGAAGTGAAGATGAGTGGGGAGGATGGGACGAGTTGAGTAGTTGGGGATGGTTATGTTAGCTGAGTTTCGGGGAGCTCGATGCCCATATACACAGTACCCACTGCAAACATAGGGTTACAGTGGAGGACATTCATGAAGCAACTCCAGCCCTATTGTTCAGTTTCACCACCGACTGGATCACAAGAGCACGCCCTTCGGGACGACCCCTTCGGGGGGTTACGTGCTGTGGAAGGAAGACAGAGAGAGAGAGTGAACAAATAAGAACCAGTGCTGGAAGAAGAAGCAACTGTCGACACCTACCTCCGAGAATCCTGTGGGCCCCACCTGTTACCGTTGCCTTGGACACGAGAAGGGCACTAATCTGCAGCCATTGTACATGGCGGCATGTGAAGAAAGCAGTGCGAGATTGTCACGGTCAGCTTTGCATTCCAACACATTGATTGAAGGTTCAGCCGCGCAGGCGCTGGACGCTGAGAAGGCATCGGATGAAGCCATACTGACTGGTGCTTGGACCCATGCAGCTGGGCTTCTTGATCTCTAGGTTCTTCAAGTTAAGGGGTTCCGAAGACTGCGCACTGAAAGCCAAGGCTTACTGCTCTTTCTGACATTGTAGCATTCGGTAGTCTCCACTTCTCACCTAGGACTTAAACATCTCAACAACTCTCTGGTGTGCCATCATCGGTCAAGGGAGATTGGAAGATTGGGCGGGGAACGGTGTTCTGCAGAATTTCGGAACTCTGGCTAGCAGAGCATCTTGTAGCATCTTGTCTCAAAGCCCGTTTAGCTGCTGTAGGTAGGCATCACGTTTGCGGTCCGCGTACTGTAAAGTGAAAGTGGGCATGAGCCCCCGAGGCCTTCGGTCCTCCCAGGGAGTTCTTCCCAACGTAGGCATCAAGTTTCACACCCATTCACGCCAGCAAGCCACTGAGCACTCTCATTGGGTAGGCTCACAGTTCGACTTGCCAAGATAGCCAAAGACACGGTGTGGCTTAGAAAGTCTCAGAGCTGGTTGCCTTCAAGGGGCGACTGAAGCTGCTAGCACGCGTGGAAAAGGCTGGGTAATGAGAGCTTATCATGCCATGTAGACATCATGTCGGCTGTCTGCGTCTGTCCCGCACAGTATTCCGATGTAATTGTAAGCGCTTGCGCGCGCCGCCTTGGCAGCCGGGCTGGCCCCAAGCCACAGGCCATGCACGTCAGCTGTCCAAGCAGTGCACCTCGGAATTGCCAGTCTGCACACAGCCGGGTTGCAGATGCACAAAGCGACCGTGGGTTGAAGTAAAAGAGCAGGAGTGTGCTCGCAAACCAGAAACTTTGAAGCCGCATCACAAGTTCGTATAGGCCTGCAGTGGCAGCAGGCTGTGCTAAACCTTCGGTGCACTTGTTGTCGTGTGATTGTTGCCAGAATGTTCGTGGGCTTGTTGCCTTGCCAAGCTTTGGGGTGTGGAGGGAAGGAGACTAAATCCTGGTCTACTTGTTCTTGACGCCTGTCAGCCGGAGGCCGAGGCGGCTTTTGAGAGCTCGCTGCCCCAGCACCTGTTTCAGATCTGCGTCGACGGAGTCGCACCGATCGTGATTCGGCAGCCATTTGTGCACGATGTCTAGTCACATGGCAAAGGCCCAAACGGCACAAGCACAACAGCCATTTGGAGGAAAGGCAGCCACTTAAACAGCGCACGCAACCAACATAGGGGAAGTTGAAATAGCTTCGTGCAGCCCGTCGGTTTTCCGGCGCCAGGCTCCCCAGCTCGCCAGTGTTTTTGTTTAGCAGCTTGCGTGGACCGGTTGTGCCCCAATGTGCTCTTCTTACATCATCTTGCCCTCGCTGCGAACTACAACTTTGCCTTTAATTACAGCATGTTACAGACCCTGAGAATCGATTGGTCAGAAGCACGCAGGCCGATGATCTACCCACAGCCACAGCCAAGGCAGAGACCTGGCCAGATGCAGAAAGTTTTCGCTCTTCTTTCCAAATTACTGCTTAGTCCCATTCGCCTGCTTTCGGCAGAGTATGGGGAAATCATGTCAGGTATGCAGCTATCCCACGTGCAGTTGGCAGCCCGGGCGTGCTGCGAGACTCCAGATCAGAGGGTCGCTCTCATGGTACGAGATTTAGATTTCACTGAGGTTCAGGGTGCAGATATTTTTGCTTTTGAGGGCGGCGAAGAAGTTGAAACGGTTTTCCAAGACAAGCTCATGTTGACTCACGCGGGTAAATCGGCCCTTATATAGACCCCTCCAAGTGGAGAAGAAGTAGCACATGTGCAGATGGTGCCAACAGTCATCACAACTGCAGTGACACATTGACGGCATACTGCAGTATAAGAATCGTACCTTTATACATCAAGTCATATATGGGCGAGAAAGAGTCTGACCGGACTCAGAGGTTCCTGACGTGGAGTGCTAAGCAGACCAGACATTGAAGTAAACCCGTTTCAATTCCCTTGTACTTCACACCAGTGGCACACAGACATGAGTACTCACATCCATATCTGCTTTGATTGTCTGTGCGAGCCATGCGTCGCGGCCAGCAGCGCCGTGCGCCCCATGCTACCGCAGTGGCTGCAGACTTGGACTGTGTTAACAAAGTTGCTGAGACTGTTAAGCCTGCTATGGAACATGCTTGCAATGCTTGAACTGCCCAGGTTCTAATTTGCATCCTCCTGGTTGCAGACTACAGCCATGGATTTCTACAAGGCAGTGCAAGCCACACTGCAATGATTTGTAGCGCTGTGTTTCATTGTTGGCCGGCTATTGGTTCCCTGCACGATCCTGGGGCACAGGCCACCAGGCATCCCATTAGAGTGTAGAAGCTCAGCACTCGACTGGACGCGCCGTCTGAGACAGAAATCCATGCTTGGCAAAAATGTGACAGGTCAGGGTCGAGCGAGCGCCCCGCGCCGTGTGGCCTGCAAGGCAGGCAGAAGTTGCCTCCATGATACTAGGATGAAGCCATCAGCTTTTTTGTCGCGAGTTTGCTGGTTGACCTGTTGCATCGCCCGCTGCCGGAGCAGACTCCCAGCAATCTCGCCCCTTGCAGGCATCACGGGATGCGGCAGCGGCTACTGGGCCAGCACAAAAGCCCCCTTCATGGAGAGGCGCCGAGGCGGGGCACGCAACTGAGGCTTCCTATGGCTTCGATGCCCTCTCGCTGTCCAGCACGGAGAGACTCCACGTCCTGTCCGCGCTGGCGGAGAGGCTCCGAGAGTGGTTTCTGCGCAGAGCAATGCTCCTTTCGGCTGATCATTTTTCTGCAGGGTTAAGTACCAAATGTTCCAAGCTTCAGGCTAGAAGTGGCCGAAGCACTGAAGGCGGGCTCAACCTGAGGATCGGTGGTCGTGTTTTCAGCGCTTGACGCCTCCGCGCGTAGTATCTCGGCCCCCAAATGCCCCCGAAGCCTGGCAGGTACCCGCCAGCGGCTTGCAAGCTTATCTGGAGGACTGCCTCCAAGCCATGCCGTGTCCAGGCTTCACAATCCAGTGAGAAGATTTTGAGAAGAGGAAGGCAGTGACAAAAGCAAGAAGCATGGGCAATGGTCGCGGAAACGTGCCCTGAACCTTCTTCCATCCACCAGCCCTTGGGAAATCCTTGGGAGAGCTTGCAAGGTTGATCAGGGTTGCCTTGTATGAGCCGAGGCCTTCAAACCCGTATCACGGCCCAAGCCACGTTGTGGACATTCTTCAGCTCGGCGCTGAGAAGTTCCGGACCCCCTTCTTTTGTAATTGATGTCGAGGCGCGTGTGGGAGGAGAGAGAGCCAGCCTGCAAAAAGGCCACCACAAGCCGACCTGCTTAGGTTTCTAGTGACCTTGCTGGAGGAGACCGGCCTGGATGCTCGGCATGTCAAAATTGGCTTACTTGTAGGTGCAGGCTGCATGAGGGCTGTGCCTTGAGCACATGCTAACTCTATGAACGTGCCAATAGGCAGGGAAGCATCACATTGTCGCATCTGGCAATCCAACTGGCTCGATTCTTGTCCAGTTGCACACACATCACTTCATGGAGCCAGAATAGCCAAGGATCGCGTCCTCACACCGGAGTTCCGCGCAGTGCTTTTTCTTGCTGGTGCTGCGCACGTGCCACAGCACTACTAGTCGGGTTTCAACATGGTGCCGCAGTTTCTTCACAAGATTTCATGTGAGGGGGGAATGCTGCGCATTGTGTGTCTCTGAACAGCTTGTTGCTGGCATGGACGCCTTTGATCTCCTGGACTTCGCTTGCATCACTCCAAGGATGTGGACCACACCGGCACTACGAATGCCTTTCTCGTAAGCCTTGGCCACACGTATGTGGAGGAGACTGGGTCTAGCTCAGTGTCAGCACATGCGGACCAAATACAAAACACGATCCATGCTGCGATGAGAGGCCTCTCCCCCCGTAGCCCAAACATCATTTGATTCGTATCCTGCATGGGTGTGTGTGTGTGTGAGTACGAGCACACCACCGTGCTGATAAGGATTCGAGATGGTTCGAGGTTGTTTTGTGTTTTTGAATTTTATGTTTGCAGAGATGCACACCGCGGCGAATCTAGGAACGTTCATGGAGGAGGCCACCGACCTCGGATCGCTAACCCACAGGCAAGCAGATACTCTACGACACAGAAGATCAAGGAGCAAAAGAGGTCATGGAACCTGGATGAAATTGATACTCCCCTTTTCGTGCACAGGGCCCAATCGACGTGCCTGACGCGTCGCCTCCCCCAGCGTTGCCTAGCGAGAAGCCAGATGAAGCACCTTCAGCTGGGCCAATCGAGAAGCACAGATTCTAGATGATGCGACACTGCCGCCGTCCAATCCAAGATGCACCAGGGCACGTTCTGACGCGTACGGCTGCGAAGGTTGGAAAGCATGCTTCGGACGACTCTCTACACCGCCACTCCCACAGGCTGGGAAACACGTCGTGCCAAGACACAGGCCAGCACGATGAACGTTCAGGAAGCATTTTTATCAAAGTTCGGAAAAGATTGCTCATGAAGAGTTTGCCATTTAAACCATGAGGCATCAAAGAATGAGACGGTCAACAATAAGCCCAACATGCGGTCTACATAGGGCTCCGTGGTGAGCGAGCCCCTGTTTGCGCGTTTTGGTACAGCCGATGAATGCGGCTGACAGACCGTTGCTATCGGATCGCCCGTCCTGTATCCCAGAAAAGAAAAATGATTCATTAAACGACTGACAGCTCGGCTTGGTGTGTTTCCCGACAAACTCCAGGAGGCAGAGGATGGTGTGGGTCCCATGGAGAGCCACTCCGCACAGCGAGCAGCAGCTCTTCTTGAGGCGAGGAGAATCCGTCTCTTCCAGCAAGCCTTCGGATTCAGATCTTTTCGGGATGTTTTTTGTGTGATTAGTTGCGGACACAGCCGCTTGGCAGGAGCGGCTGCATCTTCCTCGCTCCAAGCTTCGCGATGCAGTGAAGGCAACCATCCACGGGACGGATCTGGCAAGGCCCCCGTCACACGATGCGCAGCGAGCAATCGCAAGCGAAAACGGCAATGGGACGTCTGTGATGCCGCTCTTCGGTTTTCAGCCTGAGCTGCGCACATCCAATATACTGGCAAGACCTGCTAGTTACTAGTAGCAAGCGTAGCCACACATGCTTTCTTCGGCCGGGATGTTCAAGTCCCCCGCGTGCATGCTCCTGGCCTCTCCTGGCCCTCACGACCAGGCATCAGCAGATTGTGGATGCGTTCCAAGATGAGATGGAGGCGGGGCAGTCCGCAATCATGCGAGAGCTTTGCGCCTCTGCGCCCTCAACTCGCAAGGCAGCCTTGACAGAAGAAGCTGTGGATGCCTTCTTCTCGCCCCAGAGCGCCCAAGGAGCTCTCATGGGGGGCCATAGAGCCATAGAGGTGCGATGAGTGTGCCCATAGTGTGCTTTTAACTCTTAGGCGCACCCTAAAGCGTCCTCGAGTGAGATTGAAAAAGGGGCTTTTAGGCTGTACCCTCATCAAAGATGTTGCGTTTCAAGCCGTGGCCCTGTGCAGCGTGCTCCGAGCATGGCAGTTACTGCAATGTATTGGATCATATTAACCCCTGAGCCTGAGCCGCACGCCAAACCTTCACACCGGCGCGATGCGCTCATGCTTCACACCTTTGCTCTCCCAAGTTGCAAAGACGTCATTTCGCGAAGACGTGCCCTCCATGGTCAGCCCATTGGTCGGCCCTCTCCCATTATTACCATAGGGGCCTCAGCGTTGAAGACATGTCGCAGGTGCCCAGAAATTCAGGAATGAAAAGGGGGAAGACTTCTTGGGGCTAATACTAGCTGATGTCAGATGCGGGGCCCTACACTTGAGAGCAGAGGATTTAGCAGCAGTTCTTGTATTGATACATTGTTTCGTGAATATATTCTGATATCAGTACATTATCGTTTTACAGCATATGCTGTAGCGTTTGACTGTGGCCTCGATGTGTCATTCGACTTCGCTAGGACAGCTGCTTCTACAGCTTCTGCTGAAGGCCGGGGAGTGTAGTCCACAACGCAAGGCTAGACAAGGAACCCGCACCAGAAGACTCAGGTTCCCAATATCCAAAATCGAACCCCAATTCTTCCTGGATTTGGTCAAAGGCTGGCGATGTCAGCAACCCAACCAGACCATTGGCCACGGCAAAGGCGTGGAACCAACAGGTCTACCAGGAGCTACGGGAGTGGGCTGACACTTTTATGTCAGAGCAACACCCATCATGAGACAGCCCACGATTCGACGAATCGCCGTTCCAGTCATCTGCCCTTGAGGAGTTCTATGCGGAGGGCGATCAGGCATGGGATGTGACTTTGAGCACTCCGCCTCGCCCGGGGGATCCCTGCTGCAGGTGCTCTCCGCTGGTGGCAAGCCGAACCCTCTGCACGATCGCCCCCTGGATAGATGACGGCTTTAAGGTTGCTGGACATGTTGCGAGCTTAAGTTTGAATCTCGAAGGTTTCAGTTGGATATCATCTTATTTGTGTCTGACCCTGCACGAATTCTTGCAGTGATTGCCGTGTAGACTTCGTTGTTGCAGAACACATTCCATTGCAGCTTCCGCGCAAGGTAGAACAAACAGCATTCCCAAGTCCTCGGTTGGCTTCATCAATTGGGCGCAGCCAGCATGTGACGGGAGACTCTGCTTTGAGATGAGCTTCAATCGCAGGTCGAACTAGGTGCAAGTTGTAAAGGTCTCGCCATACCTTGCCATTCCATTCCATTCGTCTGGAGTCTTGCCTGAACCCTCAAATTTGCTCTAGTGCCAGCATGTACCAGTAACTCATGGAATCTTGTTTCGGCCAGCTTCTCGGGAATATGCCCGAAAAGCTCAGCACCCCAATCCAAATAAGGCAGTCGTGTGCCTCGATTCAGCATTAGGGAAAAGCCTGGACGGCGCGGCGTTTTAAGATGTGGCCGTAAACTCTGATGGGTCAGGACAGTTTGGGCTTGGCTGAGGTCTGAGGCCTTCATATTGCGTTTCGGATCCTTGATCTCGTCGTGGGGTACTCTTGCGGCTGGAGCGCGAAATGATTTAGGGCTTAGACCTGTCCAGGAGCAGCGTGCATTCTTGTCTTCGATAAGAAACCATATCGGCACCGGGCACTCAAGCACAAGCCCTGAGCCCCAACAACAAGAAGCCCTATAGAAACCACAGCGAACTGCCAGCAACATGATCAACGAGCCACTAGGACCGTTTGGCCAGGTGAAGTCCATCTTCACCATGTTGAAGGAGTTCCTGGTCCGGTGTCGAAAGGTCGGAGTCTCCGGGCTTCGGCCGGAAGGTGGCTTAGCTCCAAAGCCTCCCAAAGCTTTCTCTTAACTTGGGCAGAATTTCGCTGTCCGCTTACTCCTTTTGTTCCACTACCCTGACCTGATGCCGCCACCCAGGCCTCGACGCCGTGCTGGCCCGCCTCGATGAAAATGCTGCATCCTTTGCCAAGGCGACAAGTGGCAGTGTCAGTAGATCAGCAGGAGCACTGCACTTGCCGAACCTGCTGGTAGGAGCTGCCCGTCCGTAACCTTGCATGATGACTTACATGCTTAAATAGTCGTCTTCGTCTCTTTGTGCTCCCGAGGAAGCCGCCATGCTGGAGGCCCTTCAGCTTCGATGTGCGCAAGGCAAATAAAAGTGTAACCAAGTAACATCTGCCTGAGAATGCCCATGACAGTACAGCACTGTTCGGCTTCGGCAGTTTGGCTGCAGTCCGAGACCACGCGGTGTAATCACACACGGGGCATACTTCGTGGACATAGAGCAAGAAACCAGAGCTGCTTTCACGTTGCACCTGGAGGCTGCTGATGCCTCCAACAAGGTGTGACTGGGCATGGAATGATGTCCCTATGGTGATGTTACTAGGTCACTCTGTCCTTGGCGTCCTCGTAGCCACCGGAAGCAACGTGCTTGATTCACTGCAGACAAGTTGTACTGGTACCAAGGTCCGAGATTCATTCTGGAAGATAGATGCTGAGTCGGCTTGTCCGGATTTTCCAGCATCCATTATGACTCGGGAATTTGACACTACAGCCCACAAAGTCAACATCAGATCGACTGTTCTCAGGTAGGTACCCATGTGTGCAGTTCACAAGCGCAGTTTGTGCCGAATTTTCTTGACGTTGGAAGCATGAGATTCAAACCTCGATTCCGAAATATTTGCGCGCAGGCCATGCTCAAATTCCTGAGCGTTTGTCTACAAACCAACCAGCTGGTTAAAGTTAACCAGCTTGCTCAAACCAGTTGGTACTTATGCAGCGCCGTTTTCAGAAGAAGTGTGCAGTCCGCTTTTTTTCTAACTTGGAAGACATCTGCAAGACTCCTACTGAAGCCCTTGTTTTTGGTGTTCTTCACTCTCAGGGATGCCAAGTATCAGTACGAAAACGGACAGTATGCTTCTGCCTCTTGCTGTTCATTCCTCTAGAACAGTGCAGGCGACGGTTCCGTTAGAATCGGAAAGGAGCTGTGACTTGTACGATTGGTACATAAAGCGAGAATGTATGTACTCTATACATTCTTTACATGCATCTATATACACATATACGCCTGTGTGTATCATATATGTGTGTGTACATACATGTATACGTGTATATATAGAGAGAGATACCCATGTACTCCCTGCGCATCTTTCTCGTGCAGTAGTATGCCTAAAGAGCTTCAGAGCATTGAGAAGCTTAACCAGTATGCCGTTGTGCATGACGATGTTGGTGACTGGCGAGGCCAATGATGAGGGCCGACTGCACAGAGCATGTTTGACTGAATGAGCCTGACCTGCTCTGAGTGAGAAGGAGAATGAACCACAATGCACTCTGCGGAGGGTGCCTACAATTCACAGTGCTCCAATTGAACGATGACTTGGAGCAAAACAAAGCAGAAGGAGGCACACCATTCCTGCACATCTGACAGAGCAGCAAGGATTATCTAGAGCATTTGCAGCTTCCTCCTGCTTACCTGTGGGGATGAAGCCCCGCGGTTTCAAACAAGGGCTGTTGAAGCCATGCAGATTGAGCGCTCCATGCCATATCGCATTGCACTTGCGGCCCTACTGTATGGTGACATAATGCGGCGTACCTACAAGACTTGCGAACAGAGACAGGGGGTGGACTTTGCCAGGGTCGGTTGTGGTCAGTTTGCTGCATCACTTCAACACTCCCGTTGTGCAGCTGCTCTTTGAATGCAGCCGCCATGTACCATGCGCCACTTCAGAGAGGGTTGTCATGACAATCCGTATCCCCATTCAGACCGTTAACAGCGGGGGGTGCCTGCATTCGCGGAGAGTCGGACTTGATGCGATTTCGCATCCTGTATGTACGATTTCTTGGCATCCAGCCGGTGCAAAAGTCGATTCAGCCAGGGCCAGGTGCTCACACATGGAGGGCTCTTTTCACTAAGACTTCGGCCGAGGCCCCTCGACCATCTGCAACATCACCGATGCGTGTCAAGGTCGACGATGCAGCTACATGAAAGGTGTGTGTGTGTGTGTGTCTCTGTCTGTCTGCGTCTGCGTCTGCGTCTGTGTCTCTCTGTGTGTCTGTGTGTCTGTGTGTCTGTGTGTCTGTGTGTCTGTGTGTCTGTGTGTCTGCGTTTGTGTTTGTATTCGTGTTTGCGTTTGTGTTTGTGTTTGTGTTTGTGTTTGTTTTTGACTTTCAGAAGTTTCACTATGGAGGCCGTGAACCCTTCAAGTACCTTCAGCTCCCTTGGCTCGAGACTTGCAGCAGCTATGGCAGCCGAGACGACCACTGTGACCACGGCCGTCGAGGAAAGATGCATGACATGTGCTTCTCTGTGAGGAGCTTTACAAATCCGACAATGCGATGCTCTCGGAGGGTTTGGAAGCTGGTTGCTCTCTCGTCCAGCATCCGGAACGGCTCTGGAGTCAAGCTGCCGTGTATGTAGTCGTTGTCTGAGTTTCATCGGGAGCGACCCCCATCCATCCAATCCTTCGCCTCAAGCAGAAAGCAGCGTCTCGTGATTCGAACACACTCGCACCCACCAGAATCTTCACCAGGGCAAGGCACAGAGAGGTTAGTCGCCCAGAGCGGCCGTAGCGGTGTCAAACCTGGCAAAAGAAGGGGTATGGCACAACTGTTGCATAGTGGCATAGAGGTTCATCAGAACATTTTCCTCATGTAGTCTGCAGTGACTACAAGTGTAAGCTTGCAGGACGAAGTGGCCTCCAAGAAGCGAAAGGCCTAAGCTTAAGCGAAGGGCACGATGCAATGGCTGGAGAGCTTGCCAAGAGGCTAGAAGATCGCATGCCGTATGAGTGTTGCTTCCGTGCAGGTCGCGCCTTGGCCATCGCTCTCTACAGGAGGCCTCGAAAATGCCTCGCACATCAGCTGGACAGGCAGGGAATTTGACCGTAATTGAGAGCCTGGCGGAGGCAGCAATGGAGGCGCAGATGGCGGCCTCTTCGATGGGCTTCCCGAAGCCCACGCCGAGACCATCACGGTGACGTCGCAGCATGTGCCACAGGCACACAGCGCAGAGAGCGCACAGCGCAGAGAGCGCATAGAGCAGAGAGCGCATAGAGCAGAGAGCACATAGAGCACAGAGCGCATTGGCGGAAATAGGTAGGCTGTCTGGCGAGTTTGAAGGCTTCAAGTCGCCTGACAGTCTGACAGTCTGACAATGTTCTAGCAGCCTCTCGCCGCCTTTGCCGCCAGCATCCCTTTTTCTGCTAAGCTCGGCAATTGAAAAAGCGATAACCAGTTCAGCCGTACCGCCTCTCCCAAGTTGGTGATTATAATCGTCCTGCAGGTCAAGAAGCCAGTTTCTCGGCTTTGCTTGTGAACAAGGTTCCAGCGCTGAGATTGATTCAGCGTGCACCCACAGGTGGCAGAGAGAGTGTGTGCGTGTTTGTTACATGTTTTCCTTTGAGCTTTCCGCTGTGGCTTGTCGGGCTTGCTGGTTCCAAGTTCTGAGGTGCGCTTTTCTTGATGAATAAGCCCCAAGACAAATCGCCCTCCCAACGCAGAGGGCTGAATGGAGCTCCAGGGTGGAACAAATTTCTGACAGCAACACAACGCTGGACCCGAAGCACACCGAGAACGATGAGTAGCCGTAAGCAAGGCCTAAGACCTCTTGAGACCATAAACACGTGTGGCAGCAAAAGGTTCCATCTCAAGCTTCGTGTGTGAAGTGTTTGCACACTCCCCCCACTCCCACACGTGGCCTTCTGAGAAGAACGGAGCTCGCAAAGCTTGAATGCCAAGACAAGACGTAGCAAGTGCCGCGCTGCTCGAAGATGCCCGAGCGATGCTAAACGTACCCATCACCAGCGAGCTCGCCGTCACTCGTGAATGCCTCGCAATCGCTAATTAAAGTTGCATCAAACCAAAAGACCTGTTGCCTCAGCAAGGTGCAGCTCAGAACACGAACCCCCAAGCTCCAAACCGCAAACCCTTCCTCCCAAGCCCCTACCCCAGAGCCTTAATCCCACACCCCAAAGCCTAAACCCTACTCAGACCGAAAACGTCACATTCCTGGCACTCGGAAACCCCAACCGCCACACCGAAACCCGTGCTGCACGGTCAAGCGTCAGGTTACAAATGTCCGCTGTCTGCACCTCTTGAAAAAGCACACAAAGTCGAGGAGCAACAAAAACGGGCATGCTGCATGGCTGTACGGCATTGTATGGCACCCATGGTAAATGACTGGCTGTTCTGTGCAGTGCCATGTGGTGCCATTGGTTCATATTGGTTCCCCTTATACCTCTGGTAGGAGACCGAGTTCTTGGAGGGAACGTGTCTCAGCCTCAGAAAAGAGACCTCCCTTCCTCCCTCACAGCTCCCTTTGTCTCTGTTTCTGAGCACGGTCCCAAGTGCCAACCCGAGGTGATCACCCGAACCGTTGAAGAGGCCACCTACCAGGTGAAGGCCACGGACTGACTTCAAACTCCGCATATGAAAGTAAGAAAGGGAGGGAGGGATTTGGAGAGAGAGAGAGAGAGAGAGAGTTGGAGTTTTTATGAGCAGAGATGAGCCGAGTCACTAATGGCGTCTTACAGGAGCTGCGCAAAACCATCGCTGCCAAATCGACTCCAAAGGCTGGGGAAGCGGAGCTGTGTGGGGATTTTACTGTGGGGGCTTTTGTGGGCTTGTGGGCTTTTGGAAGGGCTTTTCCTGAAAAGGGGCTTTCCCATCGTCGCTTTTTTGCGCAGTGCTGCAGAGCAGCTTCCTCGGTGTACAGTGCAAGATGTTTCACAGATGCGCCTGGAGGAGAGGCAGGCTGAGTTCGAGCGTCTTGCCAGGAAGGAATCGGACTCTCGGCGAACCAACGAAGGTTGCGCAAGCAACGATAAGATGACGATAAGCAACGCGTAGGACCCAAGTCTTCAATGGGCCCGAGGACTGCTCCTCAGCCCGCGAAGGTGGCTCCCTAGGCCAGGAAGGGGGTTGCCAGTGAAGATGGAAGGTTGCCACGAGCGTCTTACAAAAAGGTGAGGCCTCCATTCATGCGCTCAGACGCGCCCATGTTTGCCTTGCTCATGGCTTTGCAGGTCGCTTTGGCCGTGGTCAGATGCAACCGGCCTTTGAGAAGGACCCTGCTGGGGGTTTTGGGGGCAGGCAAAGAGATCGTTACTGGACATTGCTAGGCTGCCGCGAAGGTGTTTTTGTCCCCTTTCTCCATTATTGGTCGTGTGTGCTTAGCGACTTTGTGTGTTTAGTGCTTACTGACATTTCGTGACATTTAGTGACGTTTGGTGCCTTGGTGCTGTGCAACCGGAGGCCGCCTTCAACCTGGAAGTCAACGAGCTCAGCAACTCGGCGACTGAGATTCCGCACAGCAAACTGCCATCAACCTTTGGGCATCTACTTGAGGCCAAGGCGGCTAAGGCACAGTAGGCATCTGAAAGAGTTCTCAAGTGGGATATGTCGCAGTGAGTCTGGCGTGGACTTTGTCAAGATTGCCGCCGCGAGAAGCCTATGTTCCCAAAGTCGCCAATGACACATAAATCCGACATGAGA